CACTTCGTGGGGCCGGAGATTTGACTGGAGAGCCTGAATCTGGCGCTGTGGAAGTGTTGGGTTTATGCACACTGCTCACACTTCCGTATTTTCCCATGAAATGGGAGGGTAGGTAGAAGGGAGAACAGGATGGAAAAAGAAGAAATACTCCTCTGCAACCAGCCTTCCCCCTCAGATCTTGTAGAGCAACCTGGTGATTGTGGCACTGCTATAAATGCTGCCTGAAGTGACTTGCCTAAAGGCACATGATGGATGACTGGCAGAACAGGGATAGTACCCGCACACCCGCTGCCTGCTGCTATCATCATACTCCTAATAGAGCCTCACAGCGTTTAAACAACAATTTGACTTCTATTTTAGCAGTGGGCCGATAAATGAGAGTTTTTTTCTGGACTTTATCCTTTCTTTTGCAACCAGAGTAGTGCAGAAACAATTCTTTAAGTCTGGAGGGACTGAAAGCTTTATTTCAGCATTTGCTTTGGTGAATATCTGTCTTGAATTGCTGTGTTGTCCCAGCAGTGGAATTGAAGCGCTCACCTACCCCTTGCTCTCTGTTCAGTGCAGGAGCTTCTTGGAGGGCTTTGTGTGTGATTTGTTTTGTTTTGTTTTATGAAGGAAGCTTCTAGAAATAGTCTAAAATGGCATTCAATCCCTCTGTGTTTTTCAGACAAATATAGTTTAGTTGCCAGGGAAAGTGAAACTAAAACCCTCTCCATGCACTGAACTGTGCTCTCCCGCTCTCTGCTTTGCTCAGGGAGGGACCAGGCCCTTTGGAGTCTCCGGTATACTCTGCTTACAAGTAGTTAAATCATGAAATTCAGTTAGCCTGATATGTCTCAGCCTCAAAGCTCCTTCAGTCTGCATATAGAGAATGGTGAATTTTATCCATGATACTCAGTTACACCAATAAACATTGCCCAGAGGTCAGCACATGTTTTAATCCCCCCAAAAAGGGGGAAAAAATTAAAAAGAAAGCAGGTCAGTTTCCCTTGCTAAAGAATGGAAAACGTTAAGATATTTATTTATCTACGTCTTTCTACCTCTTTCCCTCTGTTGTTCCCTCCAGCAAGCCAAGGTAAAGCCAAGGTGGAATAAGAGACAATGTAATGAGCAGGATGAACTTCTGGTGACAGTAGGGTCAGGTCTGAAGTTGTGAGACTTAGAGATAAATCTGACCCATCACAGGACTTGCAAGTTTGAATCTGTGCAAAAAAGCACAAGTTAAGCCCTGCTAAAATTTTAAGGTGATTTTCCCATAAAATTTGCATACTCTACATTTTGAAATTTGTTGTTCTTCCTGTTTTTGCAAAAGGACTCATCTTAAATTCTGAAAGCAAAAGCCATTCCTGTAGTTTTGAGCAAAGACTGGAAAGAGCCAGAAGTGACACATACGTTTTCCCACAAATAGGTAACTGCATTGCCATGGTAACTTGAGGATCTCTGATTCCAAACACACCCAGTCTGTAGGTACTGGTGCTGGAAGCAGAGATAAAAAGATATATCCTGTTTTCTTGCTTTTTTAGTTCTTTTACATATGGTGAAATGAAAGTTCTCATCATGTATATAGTGCTTGTTTTTMATTTTTTTCATATTTATATTCATCCTTTTCAAAACATATTTTCCAAAAAAGCACAGTCAACCTGCCTTTCTGTTGCATGAGGAACAGTTCACAGCACTAAGGAAAAMGCTGTGATTTTTCATCCAAAATACATCCAGTCATACCAAAATACTGAATAGCTGTTAAAAAATATGCATGAACTTAACCATAAGGATATTTGAAATAATTGTATTCTTATACTTAGGCAGCTCATTCCTTGCTATTTATTTAATTCTTAGTGTGTGTTGATATTCATAGGTGTGGTGTAGTTACCGTGTTTCTAAGACTATTTCTGTTAAACCAATTATGTTCTTTATAATGCAGTGGGAGTGTTTTCCTTAGGGCTGTGGTTGCATATACCTGATAGCCAGATTCTGAGCGATGTATTGATCACATTTCCTTACAGAAGTTGCAGCTGGTTTTATGCCTGATAAAGGGAGACTTGCAAGAGAATCCCACCGTAATGAATTCAGAGATGAGCTGAATGGCAGTATGGAATTAATCTGATTAAAATTATTCCTTCTAGAGAGACCTGCAGAGCAAAAGGGTCTCTGCTGTTGGCTACCRAAGATGAAGTCTGAGAGGTGCAATGACTTTTCTGTTTTTAAATTAAATACACTTACGGACAAGTTAAGATGAGCTTGTGTAGGAGTAACTTCAAATTCTGAGTTTTATATGATTGGTGATTGTATCCTTTTTGTGGCAAAGCAGTTTAGGCCCTCTTACTTTAATAATTTTTATGCTAACAGAACCTAATAGTCCTACACAACCCTGTTATTTTAGGGGCTCTAAGATTAGAGAAGGCTTTGACTTCATTCTTAACAAGTTGTGAGGTGTGTGTTGCAGCAATGYGAGATGGATGAGCAGCAAGTCCTTCGTCATGCTTGGTGCCCGTTTCCCTCTCCCTTGTGCAGGCTGGAGCAGGGGCCTGGATAAAGCTTGTGGGAAGAACTAAAGCACAGGCAGAAAAGGAGTTTTCCTCAGCATTGMGTCTTGATCCTCTCTCCTGGACCGGCATGTGCGAACCTTTAATATTTAGGATAACAATGCTGTCCAGTAATGAGCACTGAGCTCGAGCGGCAGTCTTAATTATTAGTGAGTAAAACTGCACCAGTGAAGTTTATAGTCCTGCAGCCACATTCCTTTTGTTTGTTTTCCTGCCCCACGGCTCTGGATACAGCTGGCATCTGCAGCACGGGCCAGTGGCTTGGCGTTGATCCGGCAGATTTCTGACCAAGTTTTCCCCTCTAGCCAGGTGGCTGGTCTCCTTGGATTTGATGACAGGTCCTTGCATTTAGGAGAAGGGTACCTGATTGTGGCACTGGGGCATAGCAGGCCGGGTAAAGCAGGCCGGTACCAAACGTGCTTCGCAGCCAGAGCGGACAAGCAAGTAGATTTTGTTCTTTTCCCTCCCAGTCTGTTCTTAGGCCAATGCTGGTTGCTGCCTGTGGCAACAAAAAGCTGGAATAATCTGGGAAGGAAGCAGCTTCTTGCAATTTAATACATTTTTTGCATTTCCTATGGACAGACATGTAGAGGTTCCTGCCSCTTTTGGAAATACCCGTATTATGCAGAGTCTGAGAGAACACGTCCTTGGGAAAATCCCTCAGCAAATTACTTTGAGGATGGTGGAACTGCAGCAACCTGATGGCGTCCTTGGTTCAACCAAGTGTCCCAAGAAGGATCCTAMTGGTTGTCCTGGAGGTGCTGGAGAAAGGAAGTGCAATATGACACAAAAAGGCAGGAGGAGAGAGAAGGGACTTGTTGGGACCTTAGGAGAAAATACAATCTCATAAGGTAGATACCTCAAAGTTGTTGAGCAGCTCACAGCACTAATTTCAATAAAATTTTGTCCGGGAAAAAAAAAAAAAAGAGGGAAGTATTAGCGAATTATTTTGCATTATAGGTGCTGCATAGATTTGTCTTGTAATATCTCTTACGGTAAAACTCCATAGTCCTCTATCTTTGCAGGAGCCTGCTATATTTGTTCAGCAGAAAATAAAATACTGGAAATGATTTCAGTCTGCTTGGACTGAAGCCATAGTGGAGGGATGATGCTGCGAGGAGGCTTAATACAGGGATAGGGCAGATTAAAAAAATAGGACAGTAGCGGCTTCTGAAGCTACATAGTGGGAAGCTTTATAGCTAGAACTATACTTGAATTTGAACATCTTTTTTTATCCACTGGAGTCTGATAGATAATGCCCAGTCTGGTATATCCACCTGCATCTTCTCCGTTTAACTCTGCCCTAAGTTGTGCTTTTCCCCCTCTGCCGGCGGGCTTCCTCGCGCCTGTCCAGGGACTCCCCTCTCCCTGGGAGAGAAGCCTTGGGCCTGCCTGGCTCTCAGCTTGCAGCGCCCGCCTCTTGCTGCGTCTCCGTGGGGATCTTCCCTTTGGAGCTGCAGGATCTCGGGGGCACTGTCCTGCTGCCCTCCGCCSGTGGTCGCCTCCAGCCTCGCTGAGAGCGCAGCTGCGTCCCCGCGCCCAGAATAGGCTCTGTTCCCTTCCTCTGCAGGAAGGCACATGCTCCGCAGCCCTCCTGCCTGAGCTGCTCTGAGGAGGTTTTGACCTTATCTGTTTCCCTGAAATGATCGCTTGCTGGCTGATTGAGAAGGCATTTTGTTTTCCTCAGTTCTTCCTCACTTTATCTGCTAAAAATTGCAACTCCTACGTCTTTGTTGATGTTCAGAGATTTTTTTTTTAAGTCCCATCCTGGGTTTGGGGAGAAGACCTGCTGGTGGGAGGAAGATGGATGAATTCATTACCACTCTCCCACAGCTTCAGAGTGATAATAGGAACTTTGTCTTTTAAGCTGCAGCCACACGTCCTGTGTTCCACAATTGCTGTCTCATTCTCGCTGATGATAATGATGTCTTTTAAAAACAAGGATAACAAATTGGAACAAATCATTAACTGATTCAGTCAAGATTTCTACAGCTTCATAAAAATATTTCTGGGAGAATTAKGTAGCTTAACAAAAAACCAGTCAGAAAAACAAGTAAGCCTGTGTCAAGATGTCCTGTGAATGCATGGCCAGCATTTAGAAGTGATTTTTATCATGCTCCATCAATAGCAAATTTACTTTACCACAATGGTCTCAGGTTTTTGTGACTTGTTTCTTGCTTTCAGGTGTACAGCCTGTTTATTTTTCAGCTGTGCAACTTATTTATTTTTTGGGTGCACAGCCTATTTATTTGCATGCAGCTACCATGGTCCTTGCCTCAAGTTTGTAGCAAGTGCTTTGTCTGGACTCTTTCCGTGATATTAGCTGTTCTCTTGGGCCTATTGCACGCGGTTAATGTTTGTGTTCTGTTTACACAGTGTATACAATAATAGGGTCCTGCTGCATATCTGGAACCYGAAAAGGAACAAGAAGAATAACAAGAATTTTTGCCCCCTAGCTTTCTAGTCGAGTATATGAGGTACGCTTGCTGTGACCAGAATATGACATCAGACATAGCCATTAAAAACTAGCAACCTCACAACTCATACCACCTTTGCACTCACAGAGGGCAGAGCACAGCATAACTAGATATGTTAACCTTTTTTTTCCCCCGTTGACCATGTTCTGGCTCTTAGCTGTAGCATGGTGTGGAGTAGCAGTAAGGAGATCTTGCTTATTTCTGTCTTTGATAGGACTGGTCTGTACATAATTGTGTAGTTCTGCTCTGGAAGCCTTTGGGCTGGTTTCTGCCATCAACAGTTTCTCAGAGAGTGTTAAAAATAGAAGATGGATCTGTGCTGAGTTGTTTACAGATGCATTAGGAGATGTTTAGAAAAAGTTGTTTTCTTGATGCCGTAATTTTGAGATTCAACACTTTTTTTTTTTTTTTTAATTGCAGATCAACTTGAACGTGTGTTCTTGCGCCTTGGCCATGCAGAAACAGATGAGCAGTTGCAAAACATTATTTCCAAATTCCTCCCTCCAGTTCTCCTCAAGTTGTCCAGCACACAGGAAGGAGTTCGTAAAAAGGTAAGGGTGCAGTTTAACATACGACTAAGTTATTGTGATGAGGGAGAAGCAAATGGCCTACATGTTGCTGCTCTTTGATGAGCAACTCCGTGAGGAGTTGTATTCTCTGAGGAAATGTCATAATTTTGATAGAAAGGTGCTGTCAAAACTACCAATGCTTAAAGAAAACCTGAGTCACTGTCTTTATCAGCAAGGTCTTTTGCAGATGTGTGGAGATTATAGTTGTTTCAGCTTGGAGCCAGCTAACTATCTCGGGATAGCCCGAGGCCAAGATTTTTGGCAAGGGACAKCTCTAATCAATCTGTAACTGGCTGTTACGACCATGTCTGTTAGGTGACCGTGTCACTTAACCATGAGGGTATAGTCATTAATGTCATTTACTTGTCTAGTTACGGGGTAGGAACAAGGACCAAGCAGATTTGAAGATAGAATTTAGTATCTGTCTGAAGGAATTCTGTGATGTAGCTGCCTTCAGTAGCAGRAATTCCTTTTACTAGGAGTTTTTTGTTTTTTCCAGGCCAACAGCTTACAAAAGTATTGTGTTATAGATGTTGTGTGATTGTATGARAAGATCAATAAAGCAGATATGACCTGATTTGGATTTTCAGATCGAAATGTTTACTGCTCTACAAGGAGTATGTTACCATAAGAGACCCATGAGGCAGTAGAAGATATTGCAGAATGGTTAAGGTTGGAAGGGACCTCTAGAGATCATCTAGATCAATCTCCCTGCTCATAAAAGATTTGACTAAGTCTACASCCATTGGGTAATAAAGCAGAGGGTGAATTCCTTGCAGCCCTTTATCAGAAAGAGCTGCCTAGTGACCGACTTGAAAAAAATCACAAAAATCTTTTTTTGTTTTGTTTTTTTAGCCCCACCTTCATCTTAAGGAAATGACGTGCTATCACTAGACTTTCAGTAGATATCAGAACTGGCATATAACTAAAACATAGTTATTCCAAGAATTCTGCAGCAGAAACACAGTGTCAGAACCACACCAGAAGTGGTGCAAAGGAGTCTCTACATGGGAACTTTTTCACTGTGCTGAGAAAAGATTTTTTTGTTTTGTTTTTGTTTTCCCAGAAGAGAGTTTTTCTGAGTACATGCTTCTCATCTGCACTTGAAACAGTAAGGAAGGGCATTCACTAAGAAGTGAAATTCCTTGAGGTGTTCATGTATGGTGTTTTTTCATTAGTAAACTGGAATGTGTTACTTGTTTCTSTGGAACCTTGTGGGGTTCAGGAAAGGGAGAAGACTATGCCACTGTGAAAATGTAATTCTTACAGGCCTCCCCAAAACACACATCAGTCTGCTGGTGAGTTGTAATTTTTGTGTTAGAAAAATGAAACAGAACTTGTTTCCTGTTCCTCCTGGTGTATATTTAACCTTTAGATTGTCATTACAAGACGATGGTGGTATCCTAAGCGCTTAGAACAATTTCCTGTGCTTTCTGCTGCCTGTCAAATCCATGGTAATCAACGAAATCACCCGGAATCGCACTCTTGACATATCAGTGAAGGGAAGTTGACTGGCTTAGTAATCTGTTTTCAGAATAAATTCCAAACTGGACTAAAAACCTATTTAGTTGTTGTGCTTTGTATGTCTGGGTGATTTTTGTTATTATTGTTTTTTCTTTTTACACAGGCAGTGAACTGATTTAAATTAAAACAGATGAGGTGAAAAACTGACTTTTTTTTTTCCAATATTCGTTAGGATTGACTGGCCAGGGTGTGTCTTGCAGATAAAGCTGTTCAAGATGTGCATTGCCTTTTTCTGTAGCCTTCATCTAAGCTCAGCTTTCTAGTCTTCTGCTCTTATTTTGCCTGTAAGTAGCTGAGAGGAAAAAAAAGCTCAAGAAAAAAAAAATCAGTATTATTTTTTAAAATGCTAATGACTTAGAAACAAAAAGTATATAGTTGTCCTTTGCTAACTTTGGCCAATGGACAACAAAGAATGTCCGTCTTTCTTCAACTCCAACCTCAAGATCATATGAAGTCAGTGGAAATAAGTCAGAAGATTAATGATTTTTTTTTTTTTTTTAAGGAGCACACAAACCCTTGGAAAACGAAGGCTAATAAAGCAGGTGAAATAGAACAGAAGGACAAACTCTACTCATCCAAGGACTGACTATAAGCAAAGCAGTGTCATAGCATGGCTTGTCTCTCTCTTGCAGTTACTGTAGTGATTAAGAAAAAATCCATGTGCCAACACAGTTAATTGCAGGTTGAAAACTTATGCCAATGTAATTGTACATACAGGATATGACTGTTAATTGTATAATGTGAGCAAAAAAATAACATCTSTGCATTGCCATCTATTGTATGAGGAAAGACCAAGCGAGCTGGGCCTGTTTAGCCTGGAGAAGACTGAGAGGGGGTCTGGTTAGTATGTAGAAGTACCTGAGGGGAGAATGTAGGGACGAAAGGGCCAAACTCTTCTCAGTGGTGGACAGTGATAGGACAAGGAGCAATGGGTAGAAGTTGAAACACGGGCAGTTCCATCTCCATGTGAGGAGGAACTTCTTCACTGTGAGGGTGCCCGAGCCCTGGCACAGGCTGCCCAGGGAGGCTGTGGAGTCTCCTTCTCTGGAGATCTTCCCAACCCGCCTGGATGCCGCCCTGTGCTGTGCGTGTCCCTGCTGGAGCAGGGGGTTTAGACTAGGAGATCTCCTGAGGTCTCTGCCAACCTCAACCATTCCGTGATTTGTTGTGATTCTTTGTGATTGCCAGTATGCTGTTACTGTTGAAGTACAGATCACCAAGTTTCAGTACTTGCCTTTACCCAACTGGAGGAGTGCAGTGCACTTGCTTTAGTATATTGCCTCAGTTTTGTGACACACAAGGCAATATTACTGCCCTATTCAGTTTTTTGAATTCTTTGTCTGTGGAAGTTTTTTCAGGTGTGGGATATAATCGGGATGTGAAGATAAGCTTACAACACCTTTATCTTCTTAATCAGTTTACTCTGAGAGTTAATCCCTTTTCATGCCTCGGTTTGACAGTTGAGTAAATTCAGCACTTGGGTTTCCTTTACCAAATGGCTTATCTCCATCATGGGACTCAAATAAACAATCCAGTGTAAACTCTGCTGATTCAGATGTGCTTGAAGAAATGTTGCACTGGAAATACAACAGCATTTCCACCAGACCAGGTGCAGTCTGTGTCTCTCCTTGCAGTCTGTGTGCGTCTGGCACGAAAGCAGGCCCTGATGAGCCCCACAGACTGCAACATGTGCCCGAGCCAGGCCAATGAGTGGTGCTGGGTGAGTTGCTTAGTGCGTTGGTTGATGCTGGTGGTTGGAGAAGCAGGACATCAGCCAAGCCCTGGGCATACCAGGCCCTTTTTTCAGTAGCCCCCTTGGATAATGTGAACAGGCTCCTGCAGCTCTGCTGTTAGTCSCATGTGTATGTGGTTCTTGTCTTACAATAAAAGATTGCTTTGGTAATTTTTCTTCCATATAAAACAATAGGAATGTCTCACTGTGKTTTTAAGACCTGCATTTTTTTTCTTTTAGCTCAACTTTACTTGTTTTGTTAGCTATGCTCCAGGCTCCATCACATGTTTGTGCTCAAATGTGCTGTTCATCTGTGTTATATCTTGCCAGTGTTATTTTAGTTGTTGCCTCATCAGGAAGTGGATGCAAGAATCATGAGCTGATACCAATCTTCTTTCCATGGCCAACCCCAGTGACAGTAACTTAGCTGCTTTTCACCATGTGTAACAAGCTGGCGAATCACTGAAAGCAGGGGACAGTGTGACACGCAGGGTCTTTGACATGAGTTCCTTGGAGTCCCTGTATGTCTAGGACTCCTTAGGGCTGACTCTGTCTGATCTTAGTGGAGCAGAGGRGATTCCACTTAATGTAACTAATATTTCTGGGCCCCTGTGCTTGAGAATCTGTTTCATATCTGATAGACACATAGATAGATAGAGATGTAATGGAGATTTAGTAGTAGGACAGTTTTGTCTATGATTTATTGGATTCTTCTATTTGGCTGTGAAATACTCTCACCTGAAATACTTCATTTCTGTCTTGTTCAGAACTAAGTATCAGTACTTAGTATTTCATATACTTTTTAAAGACATTTCATATGAGTATTTTTTCCATTAGTTTCTGATACAGTCGCAAGAGAGAGCAGACAGTAGCAATGCAAAATTCCTAAGCGTGGCTCAACCATGAAGGTTTTCAAGTAGTTGTGTGGAATRAACTGGCTGTCCTCAATAATTAGCGTTTCCTGCAATTCTGCTGATGGAAGCTATTGATCATGGAATGAATTTGGGGAGGTTTCATGTGTGTGTCCACGGTGACGTGAGGTTATCAGAGTGGCTCTGAGATTACACAATGAGTAATTGCTGTCATTGTTTTAGAGATGGAGTACATCAGGCACTCTGCGTTGGTGTTTAGCAGTCCCGTGTAGTGTGCTGGGAATATGTTGAGCCCAAATGAAATAAAATTAATAGTGGTGCTTTCAAGTTTGCTGTTTTCTTCCTCTCAGGTTATGGAGCTGCTGGTCCATCTGAACAAGCGCATCAAAAGTCGCCCAAAAATCCAACTTCCAGTGGAGACACTACTTGTGCAATATCAGGATCCTTCTGCAGTGTCTTTTGTCACTGTAAGTATCTGTTCCTCCAAGGCTACTTGCTGATTTACTTGTATCAAGTGGATTATTTTTCAGGTCTTCTGTATTAAGCTGTCACTTATCCTTAGAAGCAATGTTACTGTAATGAGATTGATGCTTTACGTGATTTTTTTTATTCAAACTAAACTTTATAGTCAGTTGTTAGTGAAACTTATTTCAGAAAGCTGCTATACCACCGATCAAATTACTGATAATTACTCTTCTCATTTTTGTCTTTTATGAATGCATGACTTGTAATTGCTTTTAATGTAGAGGCCCTATTGTGCAGACAGCTACAGAGAATCAGTCTTTATCCTACTATGTGCAGGATCAGGTCTTAAGTTAGAAGAAAAATTGCATTGCTCTGAACTCATAAGAAAGTAAGCTTTTATGTATTTCTATGGTCAGGGTCTCTGTTGATCAGAAAACAGAGGAAAAATAACTTCTCTTTTGTAGGGAGGGAAAATTGAGTGATGGCTCCATTTAATACATGATAAAAAATAGAAGTCGCTTTAAAAAATTGTTAAACTAGTGAAAAAGATTATTGTTTCAACTATGGCATGTCTATTGCAATTCATCATTGTGAAAAGGCAATAAATTCAGGAGGAAATTTTCTTTCTTCTTTGACTATCAAGTCCTATATAGTCTTAATGGAAAATATCACCTCTTAGAAGGAAAGATCTTTGCATGTTAAGCTGTAGTCATATAGAATTAAACTCAGATCGCTTTTCAGTAAACGAGGTTGTCCAGAGTTTGCTTTTGGTACATGGCCAGGGTCTGTAACCTGCATGCATTCTGTGCAGCTGTAAAAGGAAGTGAGAACATTGTATTTGCTTTATTTGAAGATGCTGCTTGGTGCCTTTTAGTGAAAGTCAGTAATTCCAGCCTCTTCTGAGTGCATCCTGTCCTTTGGAAGCTGCAGATTCTGAATGATTTTAGAGTTAAGGCGCTGGACCTTCCAAAACACAAGTTGTTTCCAACACCAGTTCAGTAGCATAACTTAAGAGTTTAAAGAATAGCTATTTCCTTTGTGCTGTTACAGTACTGTGTTATTTTCCTACCCTTTTAGAATTTTACCATAATTTATGTTAAGATGGGATACCCTCGCTTGCCTGTGGAGAAACAATGTGAATTGGCTCCAACTCTACTCACTGCAATGGAAGGGAAACCTCAACCTCAGCAAGATAGGTATAATTATTTATTTATTCATGGAGTGAACTGTTTGTATCATTTTAGCACAGCATGAATTTTCCTCATGGTTGAAGCTTGGTTGCTTAGGATATTTTTGATTTGCACAATTCAGATGAGTTTGGCCAGAACAAAGAAGTAAGATAATGTAATAATAATAATAATAATATTGTTATTATATGTAATAATAATAGTACTACATAATAATAATATATGACATGCACTGCAGCCAACTCTCCTTATAAGAGGTCTGTGATATGATGTATATGACCGTCTATATCCCACATCTTCATCAAATCATGAGTTTGGGTTTTCCAGGCTAGCRCCTGACCTTCAGAAAATACTTTCTGTCTAGCAACAGCTGTAAACGTCCCATACTGATCACTCTAAATTGTGAAAATGTCAAAAAAAAAAAAAAAAAAAAGGCAGGACGACAAAGGTTTGAAAGTGCTGTGTACCAATCACTTCTAGAAACTGCATTATTAATTATGTGCTGCTTTTTATKTATGCTGAGTCTGGTTTCCATCATGTTGGCAGTGGAAAGCGATCTCAAAATCCTACCTTCCTTCATTTTATAGCACTGTGACAATATAAAGATACTTTAAAATAACCTTACTGCAAGGTTMTCTCTGCTCTGGGGTCATGATTTTGCCCTGTCTCAGAAGCAAGTAAATATATTAAGAGATCTTCGGGCAATCTGTATTGTTCTAAAATACATTTGTTGGCTTGTGCTGTTTTGTGAATCTAGAGAGCRTGGATCACCTTCTGCTCTATACAGAGTCCCATCAGAAACTTAGGGATGAGACAATCCTAGACTATGCTTTGTAAAGCTGGGTTTATAATGTACTTAAAAACATTCAGCGCGTGGACACAAGCAACRACTTCATCTCGTTAGACTTGTGTGTTCATATGTAAATGTTTTGTTTTGAGTTCAAATTCTATATTATGTCCTGCCTTGCAGTGTTAAGTGTGTTAGGTGGCAAATAGAAGCCACTGAGTTACGAGTCTGTGTGGGATTTATAATGAATTTTTGCTGTTTTAAGAACCAGATGTATTCTTAAAAGTTTCTCTCTTTAATGTTATGACAAAAAATGTCTTTTTTAAAAAATGGTTGCAGTAAATACAATTGTTTTTCAGCCTAATGCATCTTCTAATACCAACCCTTTTTCACATGAAATATCCTGCTGAACCACTGAAAGCAGCAGCTTCCCCATTCAATCTTGCTGAAAAACCAAAGACTGTACAGCTGCTTTTGGACTTTATGTTGGATGTCCTTCTTATGCCTTATGGGTAAGTACAAGTAGCAGTCTTGTTGTGTTATGACACGTTCTCATGTGTGAAGAATATTGCAACTGCACTTAGATGTTGAACTGTTCTGCAGGTGATGTCCTTTGACATCAAAAGGAGACTGTAAGATATATGGTCTATATAATAAAGATATAGATTAAGATATATATATAAAAAAAGATATATAAGAATATAAAAAGATATCTATATCTATATATATAAAAAGATATATGCAAGATATATATATAAAGATATCTATATTTTTTATATATATATAAAGATATATCTAAAGATACAGATATATATCTTTATAGATAAAGATATACAAAGATCTTACAATAACTTATAAAATAAATATYCCTTTCAACTAAACTTACAAAATAGGATAATCAAATCATATGCTCATCTTCCTGCAGTTGGATTTTGTTGCTTAGTTTTCCATGGTCATAAGCAAGTGYTATCTTTCCAAAATATAACATTCAAAGACAAGGTTGGTCTTGCAGTGAGAAAATTTTAATTGTAACGGCTTGTTTTGGTAGAAACACTGATTCTAAGAGCAACAATTATTAGAGAGCAACTTGAATTCCTAAACAGAGCCTTCTCAAAAGACAYTTTCCATTTTTTGTGTATGTGACTTTATTTATATTGCTTGGGAATTTTTGCTTTGAAGTAGGGAAGTAGAAACAATTGCAATAGAACACTTCTTTTTGGATAATTCCTTGAATCCAGTAAGGTTTCTGTTAGATGTTGGATAAACTCTAGCTTATCCAAGTGGATTAACCTCTTCAAAATAACTTCTGAAATAGTGAGTATGTGACATATCTCTTAAATGGCGTAGCTCTGCCAGAGGCTGTGTTCCTGTCAGACTTCTTAGGAGTAACTTCCTTACCCTTTAGGTGAGTGGCCTGCTGTAGTTTACWGATTAAAATGCACAGCCTACTTCASACAGCTCACAGGCTGCATTTTGCCCCAACTTTACACTTTAATTTCACCTCAGCACTCCTGTAGGTGTAGCTTCAGGAGAGAAATCCTCTGGTTCTTTAGTAAGATCATAGTTCCCTAGGTGCTTTTGTACCCTGCAGAGCATGACAACTGATTTTTGAATACTTAGACCATAAAAAAGGTGGGGACTGAGTGACAGAGTTTTTTCCAGTATCATTTTCTTTCCAAAAGGTGCTCAGACTGTGTCTGCAGTTGCCCCCTGGCTCTGTCTCTTTAAGTCTTGGGCTCTGGAGTCAAGTGGTTTGCAGCTGTTTACAGCTRATTTATGCCTGGTAGAATTTGCTTAGTCATTACCTGGATGTGAATTAGTCTCATTGCTCTGCAGGTGGTAAAACAACAGAAAATTTAACTGTAGGGCTTAAAGCTGAAAATTACGTTCAAGTGTTCAAACTTTTGACTACTTCAGAAATTTCTCTCCAAAATTTGAGATGAACATTTATGAAGATGTGCATTTGTCTTCATAAGTAAGCACTTAGATAGGTACTGAGACTTACTTCCTTTCTTTTTATTGCTATAATCTGTTCTAGCAGATTATGACATTTTAGAGCAAAATAATTCTTACTGTTCTATGGTTTTAGTGTCTGTGTGTTTATCCAAACTCATGGAGAGTGGCACTTTTAAGAGTGGATMCATGTGCACCAGGTGGCTGGACTAGCCAGCCTCTAAGAAGATTCAAGTATGTGAACTTAATCTATCTGGGTTTTGCCTTCCTTCCYTGCTCAGCACTAAAACAGTGAGCTATTTCTGGTACTTTTTTTTGTATGTATTTTTGATATGAAGGATTGTTTACTGGTGTTTCTCCCTGTTACATAGGCTTCATTATTTCCCTTGCTGGCTTTCAGGCTTTGAAAGAAATCATGCAAAATTTGCTAGAGCTTTGAATATAAATTTGTTAAATCTAGTATTTCTTGGGTAATTACTTCTTATGTAGTGGATAATTCTTGGTGCTTCATTAACCACTAGCTCTTCTCAGAAATGTCAGTGAGCCCTTCCCTTTCTATATAAAGATTTATTTCCAAACAGTTGCAATGAAATCCCTATGGCTCTTGCAGTATATACTAAAATAATTGGTTGTCAAAGCCCAGGTGAGTAAAATTCATGTCAGGGCCACAGGTTTAATTAAAGAAGAATATTTGAAGCTGGACAGGTTCAATTTATTCCTCTGTACCAGCATCTAATTCAGCTGTTGGTGTGGATTGGTAAAGCATTTAACAACGCTCCTTTTCTGTCTTTCCTAGGTATGTATTGAATGAATCTCAGACTCGACAAAACATGCCCTCAACACAGGGCTCTTCATCCAGTATTAACATGGCAGGTCCTGGAATCCCTCAGCCTCCTCCAGGGATGAGCTTCTATGCAGCTAAAAGGGTAATTGGCGATAGCCCGTGGACACCAGAGCAGCTGGAGCAGGTACTTGGCAGTCACAGAGGCTTATCCTCAGTGCAGTGGGGTTGTGACAAAACTAGTTACACACAGGGAGGGGTAGAAAAAGAATTGRTAACTGTTTCTGATAAGGTGCTGAAAGGATTTGTTAGGAAACTGTTAACTGATGAATTAGGAAGTTCAGGATAATGAGATGGAAGCTAAAGGTGCCTCCCTCAGCCTGCAGTAGTTCTTCAAAGCTGATCAGGGAACATGCACAACTACAATCTACTCCCATTTTCTTCTTAAAGGTTATAAGGTTGCCAAACTACACTATGTTGACAAAGTCAGTGTTTTTTAGAAGAATCACAGAATGTTTGAGCTTGGAAGGGACCTCTGGAGATCATCTAGTCTATCACTCTGCTCAAGCAATGTCACATAGAGCAAGTTGCTGAGATCCTTGTCCAGGTGGCTTTTGAAAATCCCCAAGGATGGAGCCCCCACAACCTCTCAGCACAGCCTGTTCCATCACTCTCACAGAAAAGAAAGTTTTCCCTAGATTCAGGTGGAACTTCTTGTGTTTAAGTTTGTGCCTGTTGCCTCTCTTCCTGACACTAGGCYGTACTGAAAACGGTCTGGCCCCAACCTCTTTACACCCTCTGTTTCATTTATTTATGCACAGTGATCCCCTGCTTAAGTCTTCTCCAGGCTGAGGAGTCCAGCTCTCTCTGTCTTCCCTCATAAGAGAGATGCTCCAGTCCCTTAACCGTCTCAGCACCTTTGCTGACAGGCAAGGCCACTCTCATGTCAATATGGTAATACTCAACTGCAGATGCAACTTTGACAGGAGGCAAGAGGAGAGTACTGCTAAAAGGTGGAAAGCATGTTACCTTCTATATAGCAAGCAAGAGCCAACATTCCAGATAGTTGAATAGTTGAGTTGCTTTGGTTATCGTAACAAATTGGAACAAATGCTGACTTGAAAGTAATATTGCCCTTACTTTTCACAACAGTGCAAGCTGGGGATTGTGAAATTCATTGAAGCTGAGCAGGTGCCTGAACTCGAAGCTGTTATACATCTGGTTGTAGCCTCCAGTGACACAAGACACAGTGTTGCCACTGCAGCAGACCTTGAATTGAAAAGCAAACAAAGGTATGGCCTTGGGTGTTGAGAGAAGATGCTGCTGGTGTTTCCAGCAATGTTAACTGAAAGTGATGTACTGCTCCAGAGGGGTGCACTGGAAGGCAAGGGGCTCTGGACCCCTGCTTGGCTCTGGAGCTGTCACTGTGTGTGTGTTCACACAGGGTTGGAACGGGCTAGGCAGTGCTCTTTGCAGCTGGGAAGACACTCAGCTGTGGTGTTTAAGGTTGATCTCTCTGGCTTCAGTCTTCCTTAGTATTGCTTTTGTGCCATTTCCTTAGCCCTTGGTTTCCACATTGCTCTGTGTGGATTACTGGTAGCTTACAAGGCCTTAGTAAGTGGACCATATCAACAAAGCTACGTGGAACCATGGAGAAGTGTATTTTAATGTAACTTAGTAAGGGAGTAAAGAGGATGAAATAGTAAAGGCTGACAGTGGACCACAGTCTAGCTGATGCTGTCTGCAGTAGTAAAGCTTCTGGCTTGTCTGCAGCCCACCTTTCATCCCCTGAAGCACGAGGCCAGAATTGCTGTTGCAGAGGCACTGACCACGTGAGGTTCATTGGCCCATGTTGGAGGTTTGGAATGGGATAGGCCTGCCCGTGCAATGTGCCTTTGAAATGTGTGGGTGGCTTCTGTATTTTTGGAACTATGGAACTAATTAATTTTAAATCAAACATGTCATAATGCTATGTGAAACGTCTGCTCAAGTCTGTTCATGCACCTCAGTCATGACCAGGGAACAATTTTGCTAAGTGATGACAGTGYAGTTAGTGAAGTCAGTCTGTCCTTTGCTGCTTGTCTCTTCTTTCCCTTTGTGGTGATACTTTGCTATGCTTGCTCAAAATGCCATTAACTATGCACACTTGTTTGGAAATCTGAAGCCTTAATGAAAGAGGCTCATCTGTCTCCTTTCCTGCTGAAACATGAGTGCTTTTCTTTTAATTTTGTGTGTGTGTGTGTGTGTGTGTGTGTGTGTGCGTGCTGTTACTCAGGAGAAAGTCTCAGCTCAGAGATTCAAGCTCCATTAGATTAGAGGAACATTGTTCTGATTTGCTTGCTGAGAAGTTCTCCATGTGACACGGAGCTGAATCAGTTTTCTCCTGTAAATGGATTTGTACTGGAAGACTCAGAGTAGTGGTTACCCTGTAGGCTGACAGATTTTTCCTGAGAGAAAGTGAAAGAATCCTCTTACCTGTACTGAAATGTGGAAAGGTTTGTTAACAAGTGAGTGCTCTGTGTTCATTCCATAGACCGTCACAGTCAATGTATCTTACTTCAGTGAAGGACAAGGGATCTTGTAGGTTTCTCATGAATTACTTAGGATCTTGTTACCTGAGTTTGTGCAAGTGATTTGTAATCTCTTTTTACCCTTTATTTGGTGATTATCTGTTATCTGGATGTGGGAAGAGTGGCTAGAGTTCAAACTAGATAAAGTTTAGGTTACACTGTGAATATTGTGCAAAATGATGTAAAATTTATGTATATTGGAAATTAATTTAGAGTAAGGATCGTAACAAATTGTTTTTTCTTTCCCTTTAGTTTAATTGACTGGAATAATCCTGCTATCGTCAACAAAATGTTTAAAGTGTATCTTGGGGATATACCACTGAAAACCAAAGAGGTAAGTGTTCTTTTCAGAGTTGCAAACCTGCTTAATAAGAAAACGCTTTATGTTAACATAATTTATTTTCTGGTGAAAATATATAGGCAATTAAATTTGTTGCTTTCTTTGATATCAGATTTTACTGAACATTTTTGCTATTGACTAATTTTTTTATGTACACTCTGATTTGCTTGGAAATAGCTTAGCCAATTGATAAGTACTTAAGACTGACGATCACGATGTTACTTAAACTYTGTTTCTGACAGGGAACTGTTCCGAAGCCAGAAATGAAACGAGAATCGGTCAGCACTCGAGTTAAATTGAAGATCGTTCCTCATCTCCTGCGATCTAGACAAGCTGCAGAAACGTTCCCAGCCAATATTCAGGTAGTGCTTATGGTCCAACGCCACTCATCCCAATGACTGATAGTTCAGTTCTCCCAATAGCTAGGGGAGGAATTGTAAGTTAGTTATCAATGACAACACTTCAAGGAGAGGAGTCAGAAGCCTCTGAAAGTGAGGCAAGCTACTCTCTGATCTATGCTTTTTTTTTTCTATGCTTTTCCTTCTGTCCAGGTGGTCTACGATGGACTCTTTGGTGCAAACACCAATACAAAACTGAGAAGTTTATCCTTGCAGTTTGTGCACCATATTTGTATCATGTAAGTGAGAATGAATACAGTGTTTTTAAGCTATAAGCTTGGAAGTTGTCCTATTTACTAAATGTAAGACTTAAGGGCAGAGAACACTAAAACTCCACAAGTATTTTTCTTGAAAATTCCTGAAAAATAATTTCGGAGTTTTTTTGTGCACATGTTTTCAGTGTAGCAAAGGTGGGAAAAAAAAAGTGACAAAACATAATGTTAAGAAGTTCAAAAGATAGTCTAATATTTTCTTTGTTGGTGTCTTTGATTTCAGTTGTCCAGAAAGTAAAATAAAACCATTAGGCCCAATGCTTTTAAATGGACTTACAAAGCTGATCAATGAATACAAAGAGGTAAGTTGAAAGGATTCTTACGTCTATGGTTATTTCTAAAATGCAATCAACAAACAACGATCTTGGATAAATCTCTGTAGTTTTTTGAGATGGTTATTGAAGGACAACCCTTCATGGGAAGTTTTTAGGAAGGAAAGACATTATTTCTTTTTTAAGGGTATTGTAGGGAAGCTGTATATATTTGTCTTAACAACTGTGTGTATATGTAGGTGCTTGGACAGCATTTGCAAAGTCTCAGGACATAGTAGTATTGTTAATTTAAAGAGTGAGGCCACAGCAGCATCCAACTGCTGTAACTAACTGCTAAGCGAAGAGCCTTCAGCCCCAGGCGCATGCCTCACTGTGACAACATCTCTGTGAGCCTGTTTGTAGAGCCTGCCTCCTGTTTATCCAGGGAGCATATTAGTTCCTGAAAGGGTTACCAAATGCAACTGCAAATTCCCCAAGATACTTCCTTACATATCCTACCAAATGCTGGTTTTTGCAAACCTTTTCTTGCCTAGCTTTGATCCTCTTCTTAGCTCATTGAAGTCACTGGATGTGACCTTATGGACTGAGCTGCTGTTTGAAGGTGTGGGGCTCCCCTGCCTTTGCAAAGGGCATGTTCAGGAGGGAGCAAACACTTGTGTATTTTTTTCTGCCTTGATCATGTCTAGGATACTCTGCACGGGCAGCTTTTGTTGTGAAATGCTGCTGATTAGGGTCTGTGGAAGGTTTTTGTTCCTTTTTTCCATTTTTTTTTTGTTCCAGTTTTGCTACTGTTTCACATATGTGTATTTTTAGTTGTTGAAAGAAAAAAAGAGTACAGAAGATCTACTTTTTTTCCCCCCCCATTTGTGATTTCCTGTTTTATCTGGAAAATACGCTGTCTTTTTGTTCCGATGTGATAGTTTAATTCTTGAAGGCAGCCRTTTTATTTTCCAGGGTGTTTTGTTCATGGAAATCTGAGAGCTCTGGAGATGGGATTTGAAGTATATGTTTAACTATAAAGAAAGGATGTACCTTTATGTATTTTGTTTTTTTGCTGACTTAGTTTATTGTTTTGTCATTCAAGGATTCCAAACTGCTGTCAATGGCATATTCAGCTGTTGGAAAACTTTCCAGGTAACTAAAGTGCTTAGGTAATGGGATGTGAAATAGTTTCACCAGACTGATCTGTTAGTTTGTCAGCAGCAAGCATTGTGCCACAAAACAATTTTGCAACTGAATGTACACTGCAGAGAAAAGCATTTGTCTTCTGACATCTCCATAATGGAAAACAACGTTGGCTGATGGCTTTGCTTGCAGGGATTAATGACATCTGATGAATTATGCATAGAACTTAAGAAATGGCTACACTTTCTGGATTGCCAGAAACATAAGTCTGAGGAATGTGCAGCACAGACTAGATTGCATGAAGGTGGGCAAGTGTCATGTCCAGAAACAGACCTGTGTGCCAGTGACCTGAATTGCTGCACACAGAGTATCTTCATTTCTGAGCTATACTGAGGGATGCTCTGCTCTGTGGTGTAAGTGGATAAGGTAGAGCAAAATCTGACTGTTAAGATGTAGGGCAAGGGGAAGAGCAATGTAATGTAGGACATGTTTAGTGAAAAAAACAAAAATAATTTCATGAATGAAATGGTCTTGTTTCAGCCGAATGCCTCAGCTCTTTACCAAGGATATAGCACTGGTGCAGCAGTTTTTTGAAGCTTTATGCAAGGTAGGTGCTGATGTGGCTTTGGGAAAAGTTTAGTACTATGTGCTGTTTTTCTTCTTAGTTAATGTAAAACTCTCTTTTTTCTGTATTGCAGGAAGAGGCTGACACCAGGCTTGCCATTCAGGAGGCCTTGTCTATGATGGTTGGAGCATATAGTAACTTGGAAGGAGCCCAACGTACTCTGATGGAAGCCCTTGTGGCTTCCTATCTAATAAAGGTATTCTCAGTGCAGACAAAATTAAGTAGTTCTAAAAAAGCTTTACTGTTTAGTGTTTTCCTGTTTTCTGACACTATTAGGTGTTTTGGCTTCTCTTTTCATGTTGAATGTATATCTTTCTTAGGGGGGGTCTATATGCTTAGATTAAATATTTTTAATGTRGTACAGTGCTTGAAATTGTAGAATCATGGAATCATTATGACTGGAAATAATTATAAATACGTTCATTTCCAATCGTTATGATTGGAAATAGTTAGCAGTACACTTTTCTGCATCTGATTTATTTCCTAAAGATAYATATTCTCTGCAAGTGCGCTGGGTGTCTCATAGCTCCTCCTAAGACAAATTGATGGAGGAGTAACTGCTTCTGGTGAAAGCTTTATGAAACCAAGAGTTCTGTAGAAAGAATCATTCACTACCAAGTCAAGATTTCACTGTAAAATATGATTTGTASCATTGTAAGGCACCTGGAGACCTTCCTGGACCTTAACCTTGTGATGCCAGAAAACAGATTTCACTGATTTTCTTACTTGTTTTTTTGCTTATATATAAGAATTTCCCAGGAGTCTGGGTCTGGATTTTATTCAGAATCAGTGGCTGTTCTATACTGCATGTTTATATGGGCACCCAAGGTGACTGCAGAGATGTATCTACTTCTAGTGATTCACCAGTAACCTGTAAGTGATATTTCATACTGGTGACTTTTCTGCCTGTGTTATTATCTACATCTCAGAGCAGTTCCATTTTAAGACTTTCTGAACATGCAGAGAATGACTTTCATGAGCCCTTTTTTTTAAAAAAAAAAAAAAAAAAAAGATGTGCAGTTCTGTTCTCTTGTTCAGCTTCTCAGTGTTAGTCTTCATTTCCAAGTTGCTTGGATTGGGGCAGTTCAGATTTGTAAGAACTAGAGTTAACTAATTGGTGATTCCTTCAAGTATGCGTACATGTAAATGAACATTTAATTATCCATCTCTGTATATGTGAGAATCTAGCTGCTTTTCTTCCCCTTTCCTGCTTCAGTCACAGTGSCGTTGGAGGAGAATAGAGCTGGAATGCCGAGTTGCACAGTGTGTGTACCCATCATTAGAGTGTTCATTTAAACTCAACTATATATTTTTGTGCCTGCTTTCTCTTAGCCTGAAGTTCAAGTACGTCAAGTGGCTGTGAAATTTGCTAGCACGGTGTTCCCTTCAGATCATATCCCTTCCAGATACTTACTACTCTTAGCTGCTGGAGACCCGTAAGTTTTTTGGTGGGGGGGGCGTTATTTGTTTGCTTGTTTGGTTTTTATGATTTGTAATCAAATATATGTGTAAGGTAACATACTGAAAATCAGGTATGGCTCTTTGGAAATTTTTCTTTGTATAGTGGCATTTTTGACAGTCCAGGGGAGTAAAATTACTACTCTTTGTAACAGTCTTTGGCTTGGTTTCTTTTTAACGGCTTTTTTTCCTGGTTTCAGGTGAACCGCCGTTAATACAGCAGTGTGTGCTAATGATCAATAACAAACATTAACTTAAATCATCTTTGCAAGGGCTAAAAAAAATATATTTTTTTACTGGTAAATTGTGACAATCTGTTTTTAACTTTCATTTACCAAGAGTCGGGACCATGTGCACGTGAAAGTTCTCATCCTCTGCTGAGAAGGAGGTGACTCATTAAATCACAATAATAATTTCATTTGCAATTATCTGTTCCTGCCATTCAAGTAGTCTTTTAATCAACCTACTTTACCACATGCTTAAGTTGTGATCTGTGTGGCTATTGTATAGCCAAAGAAGGTTAGCTGATCAGTTGCAATGAACCTTTATCACTGCAGAGAATCTGCAGTGAGCAAGTTCCTCTAGACTGTTCCACAGAGACCGCTCATCACCAGCTTGCTTATTCTGTTTTTTGAAAAACTTTTTTTCTCTTTTTTTCTTCTTTTAGAAAAAAAAACACTTCCTGTTAAATATTTTTTTCTCTCCTGAGCTGTGAAAGATATCTCGTTAATCAGTAAATGCCATTTGCTTCGTAAAAATAATGTCTGTTTCTCTTTTTTTGTGGAAGGCGGGAAGAGGTACATGGAGAGGCTCAGAGGGTCCTGAGAACATTTCCTGGTAAAAACGAGAAGGAGAGTGCTGGGAAGCAGATGCCCTCCTTCCCTGAAATGGTCCATTACATCCAAGATAAGGTACAGTGGTTGGTAACATGATAAGGTAACATGGTTGATCCTCAGGCTGGTAATTAAGGGCTCTCTTCCTTTCCTGTTGAATTCTCCTTCCTCTCAACCTAAAGAAGCAGAATTGGCTGAAATCAAACTGAACATCACATATACTATTAAAAGAATCCGCTGTCAGGATTAGCACTCATAGGTATTTTCTACAACGGATCCAAGTGCTAAATAAATCCTTGGCCCCCAGGCACTGTTTTTCACTGGTACAGTTTGTGTAGCTGTATGGAGGTGAGTCTTCAGTGCTGACAGTTCTATTTGTTTCACAAGCACAGTTTAGCCACAGGTTCTTAAAGGACTAAGTAGATTGTTTCCTTGATACATCGTTGAAAAATAATGCTTTGTGTAAAGCAGTAGAAGGATTGAAGGTGGGAAAGGAGATAATGGAACAAATGGTGAAGTCTGATTTGCAAAGTCAAAGACTTTAGTTATTAATCTTTATTGCAATCTGTGTAAATAAGGGCCAGGCAAGTGACCTTTCGAGAGTCTAGCAGTGTTCTTGAACAGGAGAATGGGACCAGGTGGTCTTCAGAGATCCTTTCCAATCCCAGCTATTTTGTGTGGTTCCACCTCTGTGTGACATGCTAAAAGCCATACTCATTTGTTSCTGTGCTGTTCGCACTGAGAGATTCCCTGGAAAGGTGCTAAAATCCAATATTATACACATCTGGGGGCTATAAGTTACGTACTTGTATGAGCTATTTTAAGAATCAACTTAGTCTGAATTATTACTGAGAAAAACAAGATGTCATCAATGCTGTAAATATTAAAAAAAAAAAAACCTTTTAAAATCTTCCTTATATGTCCTTAAGACACATGAAGAAATATACCCGAATATTCTTTTTGGTTTGCCGTCTTGAAATGTTAATTTTCACATGCATATAATGAATTATCTGCAGGCATTAAAGATTTTTTCAGAAGTTTATATGTATTACTTTGTACAGCAGGCCGAGATGGAAATGCTTTTCTCTCCTTCTGCAAGGCAGTATATTTGGAACAGATTGCTACTCTAGAAATTGATTTTCTGATAGTGTTTTTCAGCCTTCAGTAACAGTTCTGGTTACCTTTGAGTTTCTAGCTCAGCAAAGGAYCTAAAAATATTATTCGGTCTAAGAACTATTAATTTCAGTGCAGCTAATGTATGTGTTACTCACACGTGAGACTGCATTACTGACCCCAGTGCTAGTGCTGATATCTAGGAAATACTGACCTGCCCGTCTGGCATTTTTGTCACTGGCAGCTTTCCTGCTGGTGTGTTCCTGCCTGTCAGAGAAGTGGGGGACAGTGTTTTTCCTACCACTTCTTTGCATTTACCTTCCATGGACTTAGAATTTACATTTTGCAGGTCTAATGCAGAGGTGAAGTCGATGGATCTACAGTGTGCCGAAGTCTTTTGAGCTACATAGTGCCTTTTTATTATAGAGCTCTTGCWTTTTTTTGTGGGATTAGTGGAGCATAAACATCCAACTGCATCAGCAAAATTGTTGAGCTTTTCAGTAGTATGTGTGCTCTTCATATGCCTGAATATTACACTCCTAATATGTTTTGTTGTTTAGGCCTCTCAGCGAATGAAAACTCCAGCTAAATACATGACTGGAACTGCAGCCTTGCCTTTCAATCCTGCAACATTTGGGGAGGTAATTGTCAGTGTTACACTTCCTTGGTTTAATGTACCGTTATTTATTTAGAGTGGTATAGGAGGCTAATGAAGAACTATCATAAGTCACCCTACCTTCTGAAGTGTCTCTTATATGTTGGAAGGAGCTCTGTTCCTGTTGTTTGTCTGCCATGAATGGGTCTGAACAGGATTTTCACGGTGTTTGGGGCCTGTATTTCTAAGAGAGCTGCTTTCTGTCGTTTATCCAGCATAATAGCTTCTCAAAGGAAGCAACTGACAATACTGTGTTGTTTCCTGCCATGCTGTCCTTGAGGCTGTTCTCCTCCTAGCAGGTTACCTGGCTTCATTGGACCTTAGACACTAATTCAGATACGATGCAAGGTCTGTGTGGGTAATGCTCTGGGGTAAGGTCTGCCAAATTGGTGTAAAGTACAGGCTCAGCTGCCTGAAAGGAAGTGGAATCAGCTTACATGGAACCAAAAGTCTGTGTATGATTTGACCTCTAGGGTATGTTGTAGGCAGTGTGGGGCTGTCTACTTACACAAGCATGTTGCAGAAACAGTTCCTAAGGTTGTATAACCCCATCTAACATATAGCACATCGTGTAACCCCATCTCATTGCTGCCTACTCTGTCTAAATTTGGTCAAAGAAGGAACTATCTTAGTTAAGTACAGCATATTCCTTGTAATTTTGTTTTGACTCTTCCATGATTTTACAGGTTCTTGTGCACTCATGAGAATCCCCTATTTTTATCTCCTCCACTCAGATAGTCCTGTACCTACGGATGTGTCTGGCGCACAGTGCCGGTGTGGTGCCAACTTCCCAGAGCTTGGCAGATATGCAAGATCATGCTCCAGCTATTGGGCGGTACATAAGAAACCTCATGTCTGGCGACCACATATCCTTCTCTTCCTCCTCCTCTTCAAAAACTGGAGAGACCAACCCTGTGCATATATATGTTAGCCTTCTTCAGCAGCTATTATCTGCAGTTGGAGGTGAGAAGCTGGGTGCCACAGCCTGTTTAAGAGAGGAGTCATTCATTAGAAATTAGCTGTTGCACACAGTGCTTTGTGATTACTGAAGTCAAATTCAGTATTGCAACATAAATTTATCCTTTTCAGTGTTAAGTACTCCCTTCTGTGCTCTGTATTTCTATACTCTGTATTTCCCTTCTGTTTTCCGTAGGCTAGAGAAAGTAGCACAGCACACTTCTACCATTGGTTGAGATAGTGCTTTAAAATGGTCAATTTGTTGTCTGTATTTTAGTAACCTCAGCTATGAGTGCTTCCTATGGTCTGATTTCCTCATTTTGATCTTAGCACATCTGACACAAGTGTAATTTTGAAGTAAAGATATCTTTAGAACAAATTGCTACCAGAATGTTTGGTTCTGTTTGTTTGTCTAGTGTCGCTAAGAAATAATAAGTTGTGCTGTTCTGTGTTATTTTGTATCCCTAGTAAATTGAAAATGGACACTTTAAAATACCTAGTGTTACTTACCTCATTTTTGTCAGTGATTGTTACATTGTGTAAATACTGTTTTTTTGAAATAGCTTTATTCTTTAATGACTGTTCAGGTTTGCCAGTCATGTATTGTCTCCTGGAAGTGGTTTCCGTGTATCCAGAAAAACTAGCCGCCAGATTTATAGATAAAATGGATTGGATAAAGGTATGTTGAAAACTTTTGTTTGTTTTCTGAGAGTGGAAGAGGCTTAGCATTAGCAAAATCTTGCGTTTTCTCAAGGGGGAATGGAGTCCTTTCTTTCTYCCTTTCCTTCTCTCTCTCTCTTGTCTAGTCTAGTCTTCCTGGCAACTAACTGTAGTCCAGTGAATCTCATACAGTCTGAGTGTTTCTGTCTGTACTGATTCACATGACTTAATGCGCCTATTCAGATGTATGCATTGAATTTCAAAGGCGAGAACTTAAAACACCTTTTCCCCCTTTTCCTTTTTTTGTTCTGCTTATCACTTGCAGAAAAAAAGCTTTCTTTTTTGGCATGATAACCACTTGCTAAATTATACTTACAGGGATGGTAACTGATACTACTTAGTTACAAAAATACTGTCATAAATCAAGCCTAGTGTGATTTTTACTTGGCCAAGTAGTAGTAATGAAGAAACGGGTCTAGTCACTTGTCAGTCTCATGCAAGTTTTGAATTGAAATTGGAGTTCTATTTTCAAGAACTTAACAGATCTCATTACTTTTTTTGTTGTTGTTATTTCCTTGGGTCTTTTTTCTTTTTTGCTTTTACTTTTAGTCACCCAAGTCATTTAAAGCCTTGAGTATGAATTTTTCATACAAGTATGTTGTATTATATATCAAATTAAGGTCAGAGGTAAGGTTATATATGAAAAATAAAGGCCTGAGGCTTCCTAAATTAAACTTTCTAACAACCTAATTGTTGAAAGGTTCTATATGTGAAGTGGATGCATTTATGCTGAGAACTGATTCCTTGCCCCATTTTTTATATCACCATTGAATCACATYTTTTTACACTCTTAATTTCTTTTCCCTTTGATTAATAAAAAGATAATTGAAGCTTCTTATTATGCAGGAAGAGTGATTATTTGCAGTTCTGTAGTTTTTTWTAATGTTAACTCAGTTTGGAAGTGAAATGTGGAAGTTCTTCATTGAAGACAAAACTCAGCAAAGTGTTCAGTCAAGGTGTAACTCAAGCAATGAGCAGACCTCTTGTGGCCAGTAGTAAYGTTCCTCCAAAAGTCAGTCATCCCTGGCAGTAGGTGCTGGGCTGAACTGAGTGCTTCATTTGCTACTTCCTAATGATTCCCCTTCRAAGAAAGGTTTCAGAATTAAGTAATATTTGCGTGACAGTTGTGCTTGTCCGTGGGAACACTGTATGAACAGACTTTAACAAATTGATTGCATTTTTCTTGTGTCTTTTCAAAACTTCCACAGAGCCTGATGAACACAAACAAAGAAGAAATGCGTGAGCTTGCAGCCTTGTTTTATTCTGTAGTGCTGTCTACAATGTCTGGAGATGAGCTTAGGGCCTCTGTAGAGCAGCTGATCAAGATGACAAAAGACAATCATGTAATTACATTTCTCTGTTTCCTTTTTTTTTWAAAGTGTAATTTAGCTAACAGGAAACCTGATTCTTGCTACTTTGCTGTTTTCCAGGATGTATTAACCTATTATATAAAATTAAGTACCTGTCTTCTAGTTGTCAGTTGGAAGAGATTTTTTTTTGTGGGTGGCTGGAACATACCTTTAAGTAACAATAGCTTCAGAGGTTTATTTAAGATTAGTAAGAGGGTTTTTTTGGAGACAGTGCTCATAAGCACATCCATTACATATTTGCCAGCTTTAGTCAGCTAAGTATTCTTTGTCCTTTTGATTGGTATAGGGTCTTACTACTAACTTAGGAGTCCGTATCCATGAGCAGTTAAGGTACCAACAGAACTAAGGAAGTGTTTAACTTGTTACATACACTCTAGACCAGCCTGTAGCACCCTCATGGGTGAGGGCCTTTGCTAGAGGGGGAAACCTTTCTTCCACCACCACAGTTACTGCTCAGCAACCCTTCCCCTCCTGTAATTAATTGTAAGGCTGGCAGGTAGGTTTCCCCTCTCTCTTTCTGGAGCTCCTTCTCCTCATCAGAATTTTATCTCTGGATTTTACCACTACTAAAACTGAGAAGAGCTCAGGAAAAAAATAATAAAAACTCCCCCCTTGAAAAGAAATTGAGCATATTTCTTTCCTGATGTCTTGAATTCTGAAGGTTAGGGAAATTGATAGTGTTTTCAAATTGCATTCCGCCCCACCTCCTAGATGCACTGATGCAGCTTTTTGCAGGTCCAGGGTAAAAATAGATCACCCAACTACACCCAACTAATCTGAGTGTAATCTTTTTTCTTTTTTCTTTTTTTTTCCTTTTTTTTCTTTTCTTTTTTTTCCCTTTTCTTCCTCCTTCCTCCTTCCTCCTTCCTCCTTCCTCCTTCCTCCTTCCTCCTTCCTCCTTCCTCCCTCCTTCCTTCCTCCTTCCTCCCTCCTTCCTTCCTCCTTCCCCTCTTCCTTCCTTCCTCTTTCTCTTTCTCTTATATATACATATTAAGGTTGCATTTCAGTCTCCTTGTCTTACTTCTGCTCTCAGTCTTTTCACTAGATTTCATTTGTGGGAGAAAGCACCATTGTTAAGTGTGCTCTGTRTTGTAAGAGCATTGGAGAAATTAATGTTCTTGCTGTTTAACTGTGATAATTAGGTTTCACAGACCATGACCTACTGAACTGTGTGGAGGTGTTACTTTCAGTGTTAGGTCAACTGTTTTTGTACTTTAAATTATGCAAACCTTAAGTAATTCGACTTCAGCACCACTTTTTATAGGCTTTGTCCTCTTTAATAGGAGTATCTCGAGGCTTTAAGTGGAGAAGTTTGTACCACGTTATATGATAGATGAGATTTAATGTATTTTATTTCATTTATTTTGTTTAATATTGGTAGTCATCAAGAGAGAGACTTTATGAATGTGAGTTCTGGTGATGTTTTTAATGTGTCTTCCTAAATCTCTTAAAAAAAAGATTTGAGCTCCTAAAGAACTCTATTCAGCAGAAAATGCTAGCACTACAAAAGTACTCTTGTTGCATTGTTAGACAGAACTCAGTGCTCTTTATGATGATGCCTTAGCAACTGGCGTCTCCATATGTGCTCTTAAGTCAGTGCTGTTTGCATAGTGTTACTTACTTTGAAAATGAGTTTTTCTGCRCTGTTGGTGTTGTCTGTAGAGCCCGGAGGTCCAACATGGCTCCTTGTTGGCTTTGGGATTTACAGTAGGAAGGTACTTGGCCAAAAGGAAAATCAGAACAATGGAGCTCCACGACATAGAGCCACCAAACACTGCAGTCATTCCGGAACAAGAACAGCTCATAAAGTCGACAACAGAAACAATAGGTAACTTCCCACCTGAGACTTTGCTGCATGTCACAGTCATTTTCCAGTCACCCCGGCAGAGGACACTTCCATGGTAGTCAGTCTATAGATATTGAATCTTGAATTCACTTGTCAAATAAAATTCAATTTAAAAGTGTGAGTTCATGTCATCTCTAGAATTAGATTTTTAGGTCACAGGCCAACATTGCACATGCGGGTGTGGTGCTGCTGCCTAGACTCATATCAATGACTCCCGTCAGTTTCGTTTTGTTCTAGTATAGCATTTCCTACCAGCTGCAGAGAGGATAGGTACTTAGCTTCTTGCTTGGGTAAAATGCAGGTGCCTGCCTGTCTGTCTGCTGCTAAGTAATAACACAAAATCCAAGTCATCCTGTTTGCTTTTCCCTCCAGGTTCTTTCTTGGACAGCACCTCACCCTTCCTTGTGATGGCTGCTTGCACAGCTCTGGGGGAGATTGGCAGGAATGGTCCCTTGCCAATTCCCAGTGAAGGTGCAGGGTTTACAAAGCTGCAGCTTGTGGAAAGCTTACTGGCTCGAATCCCTTCCAGCAAGGAAACAAACAAGGCAAGCTTCTGTAAAATTGCTATGATTCTTGTCGCTTTCTGAAATACACCATCTCCAATTTCACATATTGACATGCTAACCATGGCTGGTTTTTGAAGGAGCTGCTACTGAACCTAGTTAGACTCATCATCGGCTTTAGTGAGTCAAAACTGGGGAAAGRGCTTTCATAAAATCTAGTGCTTTCTGTCTCTTGATAGTGTGTATTTTGTATCATCATAAGAAGGAATTCACAGGATGAAAATTATGGAATGTGATAATTTTAAAAAAAAAAAAAGATCATCTTTTACAATAGAATAAACTAGCCTASAGCATAATTCTCAGAGGTAGCAAGACTTTTCCTTTCTGTGTCATATGAAAAAGTTGTGTTTTAGAAGAGACAGTAGTGATTGATCTGGTAAATGTTTGTCATTTCTGACTTCTCATACCTTAAGTGAAAAGTACAATGGGTTTAAAGTGTAATCCATTGCCTAGACTTGCAGGATAATTGTGTAATTAATGTATGTTGGTTCTGTTTTTATTTAAGATGAAGGAACGAGCAATACAAACATTAGGTTACTTTCCAGTTGGAGATCAAGATTTTCCCCACCAGAAGCTACTGTTGCAAGGTTTGATGGATTCTGTGGAGGTGAGGCAACAGTAACACATTATTCCTTATCCTGGGGTTTATGTTCCCATTTTGAATGCCTTTTGATTATTCTGGAGGCAAGTTTGCAAGTATGCAAGAAGATATTRAGGTGTTTTTTTTAATACTGCACTTGGTTTTTAAGGCTGTCTTAAAACAGTAGAGGTAGTTYTGGGGATTGTTAACTGTGGACATAAAATATTTTTAAATTTTAAAAACTTACATCTTGAAGTCTCTGCCCCAATCTCTGGCATGAATATCTTCCGTTTAGAAGGACTGTATATATGTGCAAAATTTTAAGAACTTCTAGCAATGAAGCCCAGCTTAGTACTTGGACCTCAAAAATACCCTAAAAGTACATAATTCAACCATTTTTTTTTTCTCATTAGAATGACATCCACCAGTGTACCTACTCAAATTACGAGCTTTGTTCCTTCATGGGAAGCTTGATTTTGTCAGTCTGCATGCACCAGTGTTTGTAATGCACTGTGTTCATAGTACTGAAGGGAAGTTTCACATACTGCAGCATGCAAGAAAGCAAAATTAAGTACTCAAGGAGCTTTTTTTTCAATGTTCTTAATTTACAGCTTGGTTTTACCTTTCTTCCTTGATCACACTGTCACAGGATTCAGTTAGTGAGTAACAAACAGACTGGCTTTGCTGAGTCATCTAGGGTAGTGTGATCCAACAAGCAAAAACAGTAAGAACATTGTGTACACATCTACAAAATGATGTTTCTGAGTACAATGCTTTTTTATCCCCTGGAACTGTTAAAGGGCATTGCAGCTTCATTTATAAAGTACGTAGCTGGAAAACAAAAACAAAAAGAAACAAAAAAAMMCCCTAATCTTAGGCTGCAGGAAGATACAGGCTTACTTCTCCCAAAGCCTGAGCATTTTCTGCTTCCACGGAAGCCATTTAGAAGGTGCTSAGCGGATAAGAAAACCAGTTAACATGGTTGGAGACTCATTGTAAGTAATGGAAAAAGTGGCAGAGTTCTGCACGYTCTGTTCCTGAGGTCCTTTGGTAACAGTGCAAAGAGAACAGAAACAAAGCAGAAATAATGCTTTGTTTTATGTGGAAAACAAATTTGTTTCTCTTAGCAGTGATCAACTTCTAAATGAAACTGTAGGAGGATCTTATGCTACTGCTTACTATAACAAGGTCATAGTTATTGTATTAATAATTGGCAGTTCTGTTACTGCTTTAACTTTTGTTTGTATTACTTCAATACTGTCTCTCCAGTTCCTTTTGTTCACTAATTTGAACTTTCACAGATTATCAAATACTTTGTTGGAGCCATATTGCATAAACAGGTGTGGAGATTTTAGCTCTCATCATGTGTTTTTAAGAGTTGGATCGTGGCTCTTTTTCCATCCACCTCAATGGGCTGATGCTGAATAGTTTCAGAAATTCAGCACAGATGGGGTCTTCAGACTAGTGCTGAGAGGGAGGAAACTGAAGCCTTGTGAAGCACCAAAAGTTTATACAGTAAGTACCATCGATCAGTGAGGTTCTTTTGTGGTTTTTCTTAGGCCAAACAAATAGAACTGCAGTTCACTGTTGGTGAAGCTATTACCAGTGCTGCTGTAGGCACCAGCTCAGTGGCTGCACGTGATGCATGGACAGTCACAGAAGAGGAATATATCCCTCCTCCAGGTAGGCATTTCTAGTGCAGAAGGCTGGTATGATGAACATAAATCTCGCTGTTGTGTCCCAGCATTGGCCCAGTGGAAGCAAGAGGCCTTTTACATTTGTTAATGCAGTTCTATGTGTTTTGCAGTGCTGGATTATTTATGCATTCCTTTCCTCTTCAGGTCCATCTAGCTGAAGGGCACAGGGTTTTTTACTTGCTATTTAAATAGCTTCTGGATGAAATCTCATTGTCATTTGGCAATATTTGTTTCATTTTTTTGTTGGAAGTTTCCCATGCTGAGTTAACTTCAGATTTAATGCATAAAACTCTTTTTAAAAATAACATTTTGAAGCCTGAACTGGAAAAGAGAGTTGTAAGGTTAAACTTCAGGTGTTTTTCCAGCAACTTGAATCACTGTGATAAAATAACATTTATGTGAATCACTGTGATAAAATAACATTTATGTGAATCACTGTGATAAAATAACATTTATGTGAATCTGCACATCTGCCTGACTGTGGGTAACTTGTTTAAAGACTGAAATTCTAGCTCAACTAAAATATAAGGATGATAAAACGCTAGCTTCAGAATAGACAGATGTAAATATCAGCCTCAGTAGGGCAAATAGGTGCTTAGCATTTTGGTCTTGGATCTGAAGTTTCCATTTACTTCAGAAATTTTGAATCTTCCTAGCAACTAACTGTAGTCTAGTGAATCTTACAGTCTGAGTTATGCTGCTTCTTGGTCTTGTGTTCTGAAACACTTTACTGCAAGGTTAAGAGGCCTCTCTTCAGATGAATTTTGTCCCTTTTTCCAAGCACAAAGGGGTCTGTTYCCAGTAACTCCTGTGAAGACTTTCTCTCAATCGGCACAGGTGAAGATGTCACCTGAGTACTCATGTATTGATTAGGTCTCCATTGGTTTTGCACATTATATTGAAATTAAAAATGAACATGACTGATGTTTAAAGCTCCTTCCTCWAGACCTTTTCGTTTGTTTGTTTCATACAGATTTGAAAGTGAATGATGTAGTTCCATGGGTTCTAGAGCTTATTTTGAACAAGCACATTATCAGCCCCAACCCACATGTCAGGCAGGCATCCTGCATCTGGCTTCTGTCAATGGTGAAGAAGCTGAGCGTACACAAAGCAATTAAGGTAAGAAATATGCCTCTTTCCAACCACTTTCTTCACATCCCTGTTTTTAATCCTCACTTCCTTTAGGTACCTTCTTTCCCTTCCCTTCACTGGGTTTCCCAGTGCTGCTGCTGTCTTTACTGAGGTCTTTTTCAGGCATGGTTACTCTTATATTACATGGGGAGCGTCTTTGTTGGCAGATGGACAAGGCCATTTGCCGTCTTTGTAAACATCTGATTTGTGTTCAGATCAGTCTGGAGTTGATATAAATAGCTGCTATAAGATGACGTGCTACTATGTATTCCCTTGCAAAGAAGAGTTTGGTGTCTGCATATTTTTAAGGATTTCTTTTTGGAAAATGTTGAAAGGAAATGTAGGACTTTTCAACCCATTGCTTCTTATACTTGGTATTTTTGGTGTGCTTTCATGAAAACCTTATAGTTAGGGTGSTTGTCTGTGATCAGAGAATCGTTATGTTTGGGTAAACAATGTGTCTTGCAGGATACACTGATTTGCAGGAATGGCAAAATCCTTTAATTTAGGGATGGAGGGAAGGTGTTCTGAAGAAGAGGGCTGCCAGGTCTGGCTGCAGGCCAGACTTACAGTCTGTCTATTACAGATATTTATTAGACAACAAAAATAAAGCATGTAGATGGCTTGGAGCTGTAGAAGTTTAACACATAATTGTTTCATTTTATGAGCTACAGTCAGGCTTCTGCTTGCCTCTCTGAAGGCAGAGTAATTCTTATTTTAGATGTAGCTCAGGCAACTCCTGTGTTAAAATAACCTCTGTTTATCTGTTAGAGACAAGCACCTCAAGAGATATCTGCCTTGAGACAAGCAAGGTAAAGGATGCAAAAGCTGAAATAAAATTAATGTCGTTTTTCTCATCTTTCAGTCTCATCTCAAGGATATTCAAGGTGCATTTGTTTCAATTCTGTCAGATAGCGATGGTAAGTAGAATTCTAAGGAGTTTTTTCTTTTCATAGTTTGTTTATTAATGTGTTTATTAGTGCCTACATGTTGTTCATTTTTACTTTTTAAAATCTCTTGCAGAACTTAGTCAAGATGTTGCTTCAAAAGGTCTTGGACTGGTATATGAGTTAGGAAGTGAACAGGATCAGCAAGAGCTAGTCACCACACTCGTTGATAACCTGATGACTGGGAAAAGGTATGGTGAGCTCAGCACTAACTGAAATAGTGCTCTGGTGTGTATATCTGATGAGAGTTTTTCATTTTGAGTTCAACAAAGCTTTTAAGGAATGATTCATGCCGTTTCCGAGCTGTTCAATTTGGTTTTGGTTTGGATGGATTCTCTACTTGCTGCCTTATGTGACTGCAGAGGTCGGTAGCCTCCTGCAGCAACTCTGAACAAGTGCATGTTGCAGAACTGGGGATTTGTCCTGTGTCTGAAGTGCATACATCTTTTGCTGAGGAAATATTAATGATCACTAGTTTTAGTGCCACAAATGCTGCTCTTAAAAGACTGCTGGCAATTAGTCATGTTGGATCTGTGCTGGAAATGCTGTTTCTGCAGCCTGTTCCTGTCTAATCCAGTGTGGATGTGACCAATGTGAATGGCAAACATCGAAGCTAGGACTGTGGGGAACTCTAGTGGCTGAAAAGTGGAAGAGAATAATCCTTTTAGTGGCTGAAAAGTGGAAGAGAATAATCCTTTTTTTTTTTTTTTTTTTTCCAATTAGTTTAAAGTAGGGGTGTGCTCTTTCTGTATAGATCTAGTCTCTATGATGTAACTTTTATCTGGGCTGAAATAAAAAGCTGTTATTCAGTGTTTTGGCTTGTACCTTATCACTGCATAGCAAAACCCTCACTCTGCAGCTTTTCCTTAATAGTGCATTTGATGAGGGTTGATAAGATTCCTCTCAGAGTGTGTGATTTTGTACACCTCTGTGCTTTTTCAGGATTGGAACCTAAAGAACAGACAGTTACTGAATTAGTAAAGCAAAACATTTGTTTTAGTAAATTAGTAAAGCAAAATTCATTTGTTTCTTAGTGTGTGGGCCATTCAGGGACAGGGTTTGGCAAAGCTAATACTATATCTCTTTTACCACTAGAGCTAAACATGAAATGACTGGAGAAACTGTGGTGTTTCAGGGTGGCCTGAGCAAGACTCCAGATGGGTAAGTTTACTCTCAGTCTCAATGACAACACACATAACCTATGTTAGAACCATATTCCCTTTCATTTAGATCTATTCCCTGAATTTTTCGTTCCCACTTGTTTTCTAAGTTACTTTAGCTGTTTTCTTGTAGCACAGATAAAAAATCTTTAGACTGTGATTTGAATATAGCTGTAGATATTATAGCATTTCTTAGCTAAAAACAGTGATACTGATTTTCCTTCTGTTTTCCAAAGTCAAGGTCTTTCTACTTACAAGGAGCTTTGTTCACTGGCTAGTGATCTTAATCAACCAGATCTGGTGTACAAATTCATGAATCTGGCCAACCATCATGCCATGTGGAATTCACGGAAGGTAATTTTCTCCTTTTATCTCACTTCTGTTCTGTCTGTGAACTCTGACACAAAAGCAGCGTTTCTCTAACTCTGCCTATGTTGTCTACATAGAAATGCCTGTGGAGGCTTTTATATGCTGGTACTCTGGTGTCATAGCTAATGCAGGCTCACCAGTCTAAAAGGCTACTTCAAAATTGAAATTCTTACAACAAAATAATGATATCTCATTGTTCAAATTATCTCGCATTCCATCTGTGATTCTCTCCTGTTACTTCTGGGAGTGTTTAGAGGCCATGTCCTGAGCTGTTCAGACAGTGAGTTAGGATTTTCAAAACTGAGTGACTTTTCAGATTCAAGAGAAAATGTGCTTTGTTATATAAGAAAGCAGAGCACAAACTAATCAGGAGCAAGTGTTTAGAAACACATTTCCCAAGAGATCAGTTTAACCACTGTTRTCCAAAGATTGTTGTTTTTTAACTTAACAAAAAGCTCAAGTCTTGGTATTTTAAAGCTGCTGTAGCATTTCTCAAAGCCAAAGGAAAAAACAAAACAAAAAAAAYCCRAAAAACTACTGGATTTACTTTYTACAAAAACATAGCATCATATATTTTAAAATTTATTTTTCCTGCAGAGGGCCTGTTCTTTTCACTATCTTTACCTAAGCTTGTAAGAATTTGTTTTGTTCCTGGGAGCAGACAGAGCACCTTTCCTGTCCTTACAGCCTACCTGAATCTTCTAAAAAAAAGTCCCAACTTTAACTTTTGTCCAAAGTCTGACAAGTCAGACTTCTTTTTCCCTGCATTGGGACTCCAGGAGCCACAGGTGTGCAGCCAGGTCCCTCATAATAGAATTTTACAAGCCAGGATGAGTCAGTAACATCTGCTCAGCGGCTGTAGGGTGAGCTTCTTCATTTCAACAGATTGTACAATTGTTGAATTTGGAAGGAGTGTCCGGTGGTCCGGGACCAGCCCTTCCCTCAAAGCAGGGCTAGTTAGAGCAGGCTGCTCCCTTACATTTTCTGCAGCTTCTCAATCTTCACAGCATTGGTCATCATTGGGAATAAGGGCAGGATTTGTCTTTTTCAGTCTTAATTTTCTCGGCTGTGACGAGAAAGTGTGACCTGTCCTCTGAATCCGTGAAGTGGGGTTTGAGTGGCAGTGTTGATGCTGCAGGTCAAGTGATGTGGATGTAGCTTCCAGAGGCTCAGTACTGCTGCCACTGAACAATTCCCCCTTGCGTTATCTTGCCAATTCCCATATGATTCCATGGTCCAGTATCCATTSTRCTGTRTTACAATGGACACAGCAGCCCTTCTGTAGAATAAAACCAATATGAATGAATACTTAGATTTAAAGCAAGTTTGGCACTTGCAAAATGATAATTCCCAGAATTTACGGAATGTGCAGTTTAGGATGGAGTCATTTCACTTGTAAGTTTCTAAACTATTCCCAAAGTGTCTGGTTCTTTGAAATGTGGCTGAATTGSGGAGAAGCAGCAACTACTGTCATCAGTCTTTTAAAAAATAAAAATGTTTTTGGAACAACCTATTCAAATCTTCCTATGTTTTAATTCTTCAATACTACTTTTTTTGAAAATAATCGAACAACACATCTTGAAATAAGACAGGTACTGGATTGGAGAGTTAATAAATTTCCCTGTGTGATACTATGTATGAATAACCGTTGTACTGATGAGGGTTAATTCTGTTATTACTTTAGCTCTTTAATTCTGCATTATCTTGGTATCTAAACTGTTTCAATGAGCTTTGCTGCTGACTACAGCATGTCCTGGACCAGTACCTGAGTGAGTAGATTGTTTCAATAAGTTCTTTTGTCCTCATTTMAGGGAGCAGCTTTCGGTTTCAACGTGATAGCCACCAAGGCAGGAGAACAGCTGGCTCCATTTTTGCCACAGCTTCTTCCACGACTCTACCGGTACCAGTTTGACCCTAACCTTGGCATTCGACAGGCAATGACCAGCATTTGGAACGCCTTGGTCACAGACAAGTCCATGGTGAGCAAACATCAAGGGTGTTTAAACCCTTGCTAGGGGGTAAAATAGTGGACTTGCTGCTCATGTCATCACATGGAAATTGTCATGAGAAGGGAATACCTACGTTTTTTAGTGAAAGGGTTTGTAAAAGGAAATGAGGTGGTGTCTGTGAAGCAAGAGWTGTTGGAATGCAGACATAAGGCAGAAGATACTCAGAGACCTTGTATTGTCTCCTGTGTGAAATAAGATATTCCAGAGCTTTTTTGTGTAGTTGTTGTTCAAGTCTAAGACTGAGCTGAAAGTGCAGTCTTCTGCACTTGTGATATTRGTTATAAATTCCTAAGAAGTTATTGTAGCTGAAGATGCCATTTCCAAAGCATAGACATTTAAACGTGGCCTCTCAGGTTTTAGGTGGAGAGAAGCTGATGGGAAGAAGCTGTGCCATCAGTTCAAGGACAATTCCTCCAATGACAGTTTCAGGAATAACTTTTTCAGCACTTCCCCTTCCTCTTGCTCTGAAAGATCTAGAATTGGATTTGTGAAACTCTTTTCCAGCCAAGGCCAAGCTCATGAAATTGTTGATTCTTCATCAAAGAGCAACTGCTTTTCTTATGAGGTGCATGATTCGCTACCATTTCTAAAGCCTTCTGTTGAAAAACAGCTGACAGAACTGTTGTCTTTTGCTGTAGTCTCACCAATAAGCCTCTACCTTAGAGCAGCAGAGAGAGAGAGAGGCGCTTTTAAAGCAGTAAGAATAGTCTTATTCAAGGTCATCTTGTTGTCAGAAAGCAGACCATGTTGCCCCTGTGTCACGTTGGGGTTTTTTTGTTGGTGGGTTTTGGGGTGTTTTGGGGGGCGGGGAGGTTTTCTCTTTCTCTCTCTCTCTCTCTCTCTCTCTTTTTTTTTTTTTTTTTTTTTCCTGCGGAGAACAGTACTGGATATGTGGTCCGTGCCTGTTTTATGATTATGCCCTTTTCTCGTAATAGGTTGATAAGTATATGAAGGAAATTCTTGAAGACTTGATCAGCAACTTAACCAGCAATCTCTGGAGAATCAGGGAATCCAGGTACTGCTTGGAAAAGTAACAGGTTTTTCATCCAAATCTCGTCTCTCTTATTCACCATAGGTCTGTTTAACTAAGGAAGTTGGGGGGAGGGAGACACGTGTCTGTTCAACAGAACAGAGCCCAGTTCTGCAGTCTGCGTTTGAGGTGTGATACAGTCCTAAAGYTGTTTGTTTTATGGATTTTTTTTAACCACATGTAACTTGAGTATAATACTAAACAATCTAATCTGAAGGAGTTTTCTCGTCACAAACTTCTTGGCTATCCTTGCACCTGAATAAAAGCTAACATTATGTTACAGTTGGTGATGTGGCTCCATATGTACTTGACAGCAGGATGCCATTCAGTAAAACATTGTTGATTTTTTTGTTTGTTTATTGTTATGCTGTTTTTAAAATATTAGTTCTAATCTGAGTTGCAGACTTGAGACCACTATGCTTTTTATTTCCACTAGCTAGAATGTCAGTTGTGGTGGGCTTTCTCACCCACTATCATTTGGTTTAATTTTCTTTTTCTCTCTGCTGAAAGACATTCTTTTAGCAGTTATTTTATAGTTTGTGAAAATGAGGATTGTGCAAATATCAGTTTTTTTAAAGCATGTACTTAATATATAAATATATATATATTTATGTATACCTCCATAACAAAAAATATCCCATATAATGGAAGTAAAACGTTTTTGTTTGCAGTTGTCTAGCACTGAATGATTTGCTAAGAGGAAGACCTTTGGATGACATTATAGACAAACTTCCAGAGATCTGGGAAATCCTGTTTAGAGTGCAAGATGACATTAAGGTAATGAAAGTGATAATTCAATAGTAATTGCCAGCAGAAAGTAGGGTAATCAGACTGAAGTATTCAAAAAGAGTTTAGAAAATAGTCACTGAAAAGAGATTCTCTGAGAAGCCAAGATGAAGCCAGTAGGAGTTTTGGTTATTAAGTGGACCAAAAGCTCAGACCACTCACAGTTAGCATTTCTTTGTCCTTTAAGCGATACTTTTCATACTGGACAAGCTTTTTCTTGCATGTTCAGCAATCTTTCCTGAGTATGAAAGAGTTCTTAAGCATGTGCTCCATGCCCTCCAGGACAGAAGTACTTATTTTGAATTGCTTATGTTACTAAAGGCATTGCAGGTCAGTCAGACTCCTTGTTTCCTTCCAGGTTTGAGCCACATTCTCCCTGGGATCAGACTTTCTGGCTCCAGCTTAAGCTGAGCTGTTGCCCAAAACACACTAGCTTCCATGCTGGTAAATCCAGTGTGCCCAGAAATATTCCTGGGCCCTGGAGCCACCTGACACAGAATGTCCTACCACTGTGCTAGTGAACTGTACTGCATCCCCAGACARAGCAGCTGCCTGCAAACTGCCTGTTGGGAACGGTCCCTGGGACAACCTGATTCCTGAGTTTTATCTAGGAATTGTCTAGCAGAGTCTATTTGGAGGGGGCTGTGGTTGAGCTCAGAACAGCCTAAGAAGTTAACAGTCTAGACGATTGTCCTAGGAATATTGCTAGATGTTGCTTTACTTCATCAATACATCTCAGATAAAGGCAGAGTCTGGTGTCTGGATGGTGATGGTGTCACATGCSACTGGGGCAGCACAGGTTTTCCTGTTTGCTTTTAGTCTTTCTCTCTAATCCTAGATATTTAGTTAAGTGCTAGGCAAATGCATTTTACTGAAACAATGAACTATATACATCAAGCATTATATATGCAAAGGATTATATACTTCTTTTTGTAGAAGCTTTTTAAGGTGAGGAGGAGGAGAGTAAGGAGGACGACCTAACAGCAGCACAAGAGAGACAAACGTGAAAGAAACATAGGCAGTGGTGTYAGGCAGCATTTCTAATGTGTTTAGCATCCACACCAGATAATAGGTGGACAAAAGACAAAAATTCTTTAGAAGTTATTATGTATTAGCCTTGAATATGGTTTTGTTGTTACTGCARTTTCAGTTGTCCACAAATATGAACTGCTTTATATAAGATTTTAAAACACTAAGAATAGCTGTTGACTTCTTTTCTAGGAGTCTGTACGAAAAGCAGCAGAACTAGCTCTGAAAACTTTAAGTAAGGTAAAAATTTACTTTGAAGATGTGTGCATGGAGAGGTGTGTGTCGGTGATGTCAGATAATGATTCACTTTTGTCTCTGCATGAGTGATATTTCTGTTATCTTGAAGATATCTTTAGTATGAAGCGCAGCAATGAGCAGAACAGTCCCCTAGAAAGTACACATATTAGTCTTGTCCCAGTACATTTTTGTATTTTTTCTGCATTTTTGCTTATAATGTTGGACTTCTGCTGTTGAGGTGAATGTTATATATCACTTGAGATGATACTGTRCTCTGTACAACTCAAAAATTTCTTGGGGAAATACTGATTTGGGGAAATACTGATCCCATTATGGATCTCTGATGGCCCTGTAGTTGCTGTCACTTTTTTATTTTCTGCCTGTCAGGGAAGGTGCTTTAATGTAATCTGAGAGGGGATTTTGAACTTGCATGCAGTCCYGATTCTCATCTGTTGCCAGGTCTGTGTGAAAATGTGTGACCCGTCTAAAGGAGCAGCAGGTCAGAAGACGGTAGCTGTTTTGCTCCCATGCCTCCTAGACAAAGGAATAGTAAGCACGGTCACCGAAGTCCGATCTCTCAGGTTGGTTTTGCATCCTGTAAATGTCCTGATGGTAAGGGCACAATTTATCCTGAGGGGACCCCGTTTATGTATTTGAATCACAGAATATGCTTTGTGTTTTATGTCAGAAGTTCCTCCATAAAAAAAGCCTTCCTGCTGTTCTCTCCCTTTGCTTACTGAGCTCAAACAGCAGTGCTGAGAACCCCACCTGTCCTTCAGCAGCGTCCTGTTTAAACAAGCATAAACAGCAACGTTAACTAGATTTAAATTGTGACCTTCTAGTATCTGACCTCTTTGTAGATGTCCATATTTGAATCCCATCAGGAAATTCTTTTGTCTTCATGCAGTTGGTAAACTGATCTGCGCAGAGGTTTCTGTGCTTGAGACTTTCCTTCATTTTGTAAATGGAAAATGCCAAGGGTGAGATTCTTGTCTTATTTCACAACTGGTTCTGAGTAATGACACTTCACGTCTCCGGGGCAGCTGCATTTGGTCACACAGTTAAAACAAGTTTTGTGGGTTGTACAGTTAAAACAAGTTTTGTGTCCTGTAATAGTTGAGGTCCCTTAATAACGGTCTTTATGTGCTTGTCTCTTTGTAACCTTCTTTATATCTTCCTCTGCTTGAAGGACAAAATAGTCCAAGTCTGAATGATGAAGTATAGCTGGCCTTTGATAAAATAACTTTCGTATTTTGAAAATGATTATCATGTTCAGAAATTTTAAAAAGCTCTCCCAAAATTAGGGTATGTATTTCTTGAATCATTTCATTCCTTTTGAAGGTTTGGAAACCCTGTAAAAATTCAGCCTAAGAGATGCAGCTGAACAGTGAGATTTGAACAGGTTGTTGTTGTTTGTTCTTTCTTGGTCAGAGACTTATTTTTGGGGTGACTTTGCCYGGAACTTCTTTAAAACATGCAAAACTTCTTATTGCATATGTTTCTTTGGCCTCTCTCTTCAATATTCTGTGGCCAAACTAAACAATTTCTGTGCCCAAAATAGTGTCCATGAACGCTCAGGGATCTGGGTATCATCTTGAGAAGCAGGAAAATACAAAGTGATTTTTGTTTGAGAGAAAAAACGGTTTTCATGGTGACTATTTCTTTGTTCTCTTTCTAGCATTAACACTCTTGTGAAGATCAGTAAAAGTGCTGGATCTATGCTGAAACCTCATGCACCAAAACTTATCCCAGCCCTGCTGGAGTCTTTGAGTGTGCTGGAGCCTCAAGTTCTCAATTACTTGAGTCTTTGTGCGACAGAGCAGGAGAAAGTAAGTGCAATTATTATGGGAGAGTGTCTATAGAGGAGATAGACAATGATTTAGAGCTTCATTTGTTATTCTGTAGTCATGTGCAGAAAAAGAGCAAATTTGGCTCAGAGATGTTCAAAGGTGTCATAAGAAATGTCTAATAAGTCACGGAAGTCATCAAGTTTAAGTTTTAGAATTCTCTAAAAATAAGATTCATACATTGGAATATGGTTGGATGATTTTTTTTTTTGTAGGGAGAGTGAGGATTTTTTAATATATTTCTCGTGCATATTTCAAAGAGCAATCTCAAGTAAGAACTGCTGTTATATATTACTTCAACTCCCTGCACAACTGTATAAGGAGTGAAAAGTGACTCTTTAATAATAAGTATCTGTACTGCACCTGTGCTATCAGATTTTGCATCAGATTTTGCTGTTTTTTCAAGGAGCTTAACTGCACGAAATTGCACATATGTAAATGCACATACTGCATTTAAAGCACATAAATTGAAAGGTATGCATTGACACTGTGGGCTGAAGCAGGATGTTCCCAGAAGTAYGCCTTTTAACCCATTCCAGAGAAGCATATTAACTAGTTCCAGTCTACTGRGAAAGTGTTTGAAATCCCACTGCTCAGAAGCCAGTTGAGCTAATTCTGTCATGTAGGGAGAAAGAACAAGACACTGCCCTTTCCCAGAAAGAAGCAGGTGGATGTAACAGACTAAACCTTTCTCTCTCTCCCCTCGCTCTTTCTCCCCCCCGCTCTTTTTCTTTTTTTTTCCTTCTTCTCGTTAACTTTCCTCATAGCAGGAGTGTGTGTTTCAGCTCCTGTGTACCAGCCAAAACATCTGTCTCTTCCCTAGATGGGAAACATTCATAGTCTGCAGGAGTAATGACTCATTGTCTTCTCATGTCTGAAGTTGGTTCTGGTTTGAGTTTGTGAGAAAATGAGTTGTAACTGATGCTGGCATTTCTACTGGTTTCAAGTTGACTTCAGTTTTGTATTTGATCTTTTTCTTCTTTTATTTAGACTGCAATGGATAATGCCAGGCTTAGTGCTGTAAAATCATCTCCCATGATGGAAACAATTAACATGGTAAGTAATGCATTCAGGAGGGTTCTTATTTACTCTTTACTGTAGGATAAGAGAAATTAAAGTAAGGCCTTAACCATATTCCTCTTTAGACTCCGTTTTATTTTCTCATCTCATCTCATCTGTCAATCCCTCTTCTTTAAATTACTGAGTTCTCTCAGCCTATCCCTATGTGAGGGGCACAACTTGTCCCTCCCATCAATTATAAACGACTGTGACTCAATTTAGAGTCAGAGAAGTTGTTTTACCACCCCAGAACCTGCTTGTTGCAAGAAGAGGACATCTTCCAAGTGGTCTTCTGGGGATAACGCAGCTGGTTCTAGGATTTGCAAGCTGCTGTTTCTCCTCGTCTGTGGCCCTGATGCTCCACAAAACAAACAAAAAAAACAACAACAAGAAAAGTAATAATAAAGTCATTGCTATTACAGCTCATGCTGTCCAAACCTTGGTTCTGGTGCTTCACATTTAGCTCCCTGAGCTTTGCCGGTGTTTTACGTGATGGAAACATTTTGATGTTATTGAAAACCCTGTCAGCAGCTAGGATGTGGCATTGCAGTTAGCTGCAAGAAGAAGAGCTGCTGATGCCCAGACTGTGCTGCAAGGCAGAGCTCGCTGCCAAGTGTTAGAGTCTGCCCCTTCCCAAAGAGGATAATGCCCCCTGTTTTGCACTCAGAGATGTTGGGAGCAGGCATGGTGTGCAGGCACCTGAGCTCTTCCAGGGGAAGTGCTGCCGACAGAGCTGTTCTTTTTTTCCTGGGCTTACAGCAGCAGCCCCTTCCATGTTTAGCAGCATCTGCAGCTGCTAGTACTGCCTGTGCCATGGGGATCTGCATTTTGGTGTCAGATGGAGCATGCTCTAAAAATAGCCTGTAAAGCACATAGGGATGAATGATTCCATGTAAAAACCTCTCCAGTTGCTGCGGGTYGAAGCAGGTGCTGCTGTCCCTTGTGCTGGCTGCGTGTTTCCCGCTCCCAGCCATGGGGACAGTTGTGCTGCCCTCACCGTCACTGCTTGAGACTTCCAGGCGAAGGGGAGAGATCCCACAGCTCCTTAGGGAAGCACAGAGATGTCCTGGTTCTGAAGTACCCATCCCTCCATCCTTGTTTATCTGAAACAGGAGTAGTTACAACTTTTCATGGGTTATAATCAATGTCTCCTTCTGCCTTTGCTACACGGAGGGCCAGTAACCTGAGGCTTTTTGTTTTGCCTGCTAGCATCTTAGGCACAGGACACTGGAAATACTACCAGTAACACCTCTGCTGTATCCCCCCAAAAAGAGGTTCTTGCTAGCGTGTTGCTTTCGTTTTTCTAGAGAGGTGAAATGTTGGAATATATCCATTCCAGCAGTACAAATAATAATTTCATCATGATCAGTGGGACAAGGAAATCTGCATGTGGTGTAAGCTCCCTTATGGTCCCCTTCTCTCACCACACAAACTCCCAAACTGCAGCAGAACAGCAACACACAGAAACTGAGACAGCCCACAGGTAGAGGCATATCAACTTACGTGTTTCAGCTTTAACAGTTTTTTTTTTTTCCCCCCTGTTCTTTGGCTTTCTGCAGAGCTTGCAGTACCTGGATGTGTCCATCCTGGGCGAGCTGGTTCCTCGGCTCTGCGAACTRATCAAGAGTGGAGTTGGCCTTGGCACGAAGGTATGCCTGTAATTTAAATGGGCTGCTTGGAAAGGGAAAAGGAAGAACAGTAACAGTAGTAACAGAAGTAACAGCTTAGCTCATTCAAACTTCAATTGTCTTAGACCTGAGTCTCAGTTCATCTGCATTACTTGTTGTTTTTACACATGTGGCGACCTGTCTGACAGATTCTGAGGGAGCAATGCAATTCCTTTCCTTAATAACTCTGGATCTCCTAGGAGCATCCATCCTGAGTGTGGTCCTGCTAGCTTGTTACTTCTCATACGCAATTCTTGTAATTCATCTGTTATAAACTGTTCAGCTGCTTCTAACACTGGCTCCCTTTGTATCTGGGCAGAGGTTGGATAGTTCTAGAGAGTGTCACACAAGTGCATGCAGCACCACTCCAAGTATTGCAAGGTGCCGATTTGATTTTTTCTAATATTTGTTTCCCCTTTTAATCTTCCAGGGAGGCTGTGCCAGTGTAATTGTGTCATTAACCACACAATGTCCCCAAGACTTAACACCTTATTCAGGTAAGGCTCATTACTAGTGTAAGGTTTTAAAGTTGATTTTGTGTCTCTTTCCTAGACAGTTTCTTTCTCATTGTCTTCCCCTTGACACCCTAATGATCTTTTTGTGTGTTAATTGCCTTAGAGAGCTGTTTGAAGCTCCTTTGTGCATATTTTGGAGGTAGTTCCTTGGGATTTTAAATATCTCCACCAAAACTGAAGGAATGGAGGAAAAAGATGAGGGAATTCCCTAGTTTTCTATAGGACATACAGGCTGAAATATCTCTTCAGTCTTTGCTGGAACAGACTAGCAGTGCCCATGTTAGTAACAGGGCTGTAATAAGGACATATTGTTCAACTTGTGCAACCCAACGTAAGTAGGGATTGCATTCCTCACCTGATGTACAGCACTTTTTTGATTGCTTTATTAAAAAGCCTTTGTTAAAAGGCTTTCTTCTAAAAAAATACAAAATGAAGAAATTTCTCTCAACATTAATGGAGCTATTCTATATCAGACAGGAAGTCCTTTGCTCTGGCAACCTTTGTTCGTGAACTTGGACTTTATTGACCTTCAGTGGAATCTTAGTTTTYTTTTTATAGAGATCTTCTTTCTGTTGTAAAGCAGAAATGCAGCTGAGCACACTGAGCAGCTGTGGGTGCCCACGTCAGGGGAACACTACTGCTTTAGGTGTGTGGACTGGGGCTTGCTGCCACTGTGAGCTGTGCTACAGTGTGCACTTACATAACACCAAACAGACCCAGTAAACACAAGAAAAGAGAGCATGCGTAAATCCAAAATGCAGGCTGATAAATTTCTTGTTACAGCAATAAAAACGTGGTGTTTCAGACCAAGTGAAGTCTGGCTTCCCTTTTCCAACAGGCAAACTAATGAGTGCTTTGCTCAGTGGCTTGACTGATCGTAACAGTGTGATACAGAAGTCTTTTGCCTTTGCTATGGGGCATCTCGTCCGGGTGAGTCAGCATTTGAAGTGGCTTTAATTTTTATAAAATTTGAATGTGTTATTTTTAATGTGTTTGAGTGATTTGAGCCTCTTCTCTTTTACAGACTTCCCGGGACAGTAGCACTGAGAAATTGCTGCACAAACTCAGCAGTTGGTACATGGAAAAGGAAGGTATGTGGATTTGAATATTTGGCTATAGCATATAGTGCAGAATAGAGTTAATGGCAGAAACTGGTAATGAAATATTTCTATGTAACAATATTTAGTTTTGCTAGCTGGAGAACTCCGGTGCATCATTGTGCAATGCTGTTCTCTTCCTCTGCTTCCAAAGAGGCTGCTAGCTGTGAAATGAAAGTTCTGCTTCCCAGTCACCACACAGGATGATTGTTTTCTCTCTTTAGAGCCAGTTTACAGGACAGGCTGTGCTTTAACTGTACATGCCATGGGACGCTACAGCCCAGACGTGGTGAAGAACCATGCCAAACACATCTTGCCACTCGCTTTCCTTGGCATGCACGAGGTCTCTGATGAAGAGAAAGGCGAGAAAGAGGATTCTGCTCTGTGGACTGAAGTTTGGCAGGAGAATGTACCTGGTAAGTTGCACCATTTATGTGCAACATGAAGTATGAAGTAACATGTTTTCTGCAAATTCACTTTGGAAATACAGTTTCCAAAGAGCTGAAGTCTTCCTGTGTGATTTGGGGCAAGTTATTTGGCCTCTCTAGTTGTTTAAAATAAGAGTTGCTGGCTGCACAGCACAACAAAACCACAATTGGGATACATATTTTAAGACTAAGGGACACGTAATATCACTGTAATACTGCACACATCTTGCTGCAAGTAGCCGGACTTGCCTGGAAACSTTGTTGTCATCTTTAAAAGAGTGAAGCAAGCTCTGAAGTTGTAGAGGACTTTGACTTCTCCCTAGAGCTGATGATCTAATCTGGTCCTCCAGTGGTGCCTGTGGCTTTAAYTTCAAGGTGAATCTACCCTGTAAAGGCTAATTTGCCATGTTTTCTGTCTGAAGAGGATAGTGAAATAACTTCTTTAGCTCCTACTCTGACCTGATTTTGAATCTGGTCCCCATACACCAGGTTGCTTCTCTGGTGGTGGAAAAAGTATTTCCCAAAGAAGTTTCCGAGTGATCTGCTCTTAACAAAAAGTTTATTTCCACTGGATCAGAAAGAAAAATGGCTAGTTTATTACAGCATGGACTGGCATGCTATTTTGTCCAGGTGCTTTTGAAGCACCTGGAAAACAGAACCTATCTTCATTCAACCTTGGAGGAATTTTTTGTCCCCTTACCTGAAGAAAGGCCTGCTTTCCAAAAATAGAGTACAGCATAACTGCAATAGGTACTCCCTCCCCCCCATTTTTTTTTTTTTTTAATAATAATCTTTTTTTTTTTTTTGGTGGGGAAGAGAGGGAAGGGTTTTTGTTGTTGTTTGCTTGTTTGTGGCAAGATCGCCTTTTGTCTCTGTTTGCCATGCAGGTACTCAGGGTGGTGTCAGGCTGTACATGCAGGAGTTGATAGTGATTACACAGAGAGCGCTGCAGTCCCAGTCCTGGAAGATGAAGGCCCAGGGAGCAGCTGCCATGGCATCGATTGCCAAGCAGACGGGCTCCCTGGTGCCACCACACCTGGGAATAGTGCTGTCCGCCTTGCTGCAGGGCCTGCCCGGGAGAACGTGGGCTGGAAAGGTGAGAAAACATTGAAAAAGAGCTGGCCCCTTGAGGACTGGTGTGAGCACCAGCGTTCAGAGTAGCACTGGGCCATTTGGCTAGGGAGGATTTTTCRGTGTTTTACTAATTTACTGTTCTACTGGTTGCAGGAGGAGCTGCTAAAGGCTATTGCCAGTGTCGTCTCAACGTGCAAGTAAGTGCTTAGAAAAACAAACTTCCTTCAGGTTCTGAGATCCTAAAAAAGAGGTTCTTTTCACAGAGCTGTTGGCTAGTTGGTGCTAGCAAAGAGGCGAGAGATAGTATGAAGTTGTGAACACTACCCTGGTCTCCCATGAGGAAATGAGCTGGGCCATGAGAGTCTCTGGTGAGGACTGGGACCAGCAAAATATGCTGTGGAGCATTGGTAGCGTTAGGGYAAGGTGGAGGATAAAAGGCCAGGTGCTATGAAGAGGACAGTAAGTAGAAGATGGGTGAGGTGGCAGAGTGCATTGAAAGCATAYGAAGAGGAGCAGGAAAAAAAAGTGGAAGAGAACAGACATGGTGGAAGAGAAGCACCACGGTGTAAGATTATTTACAGATGCTGGCAGGCTGCCCMGTGCCTGAGTATGGGAGTTTCTTGCTGTCTGTGGGAAAAGCTACTTTTGGGAAGGGATTAATGGGATCTGAGAACCTCTGTGGTCCATGTGCTTCAGTGCAGAGCTGCAGATGTGTGTTCTTGGCCAGCCCAGCGTGGGCGAGGTGGTGCAGGCCCTGCTGAAGGAGTGTCGCAAGGAGAAGGTGCAGTACAAGCTGGTGGCTCTGCGCTGCGCCGCGGATGTGCTGCAGGCCACGGAGCAGGACCACTTCCAGGACCTGGCAGAGATCCTCTTCCCCATGATAAAGAAGGTGACTGCTCTGTCTTTGGCTCTTCCCTCTTTAWCAGATCGCCCAGGTACTGACAAACCAGCTGTTGCTGTTAGAGGCACCTCTGCCCAGAAGGAGCCGCTGATGGGAGAAATACCCAAACTCATCYGCGTCCTGGTGGGCACTGGGATGGCCTGGGAGGGTGGTAGCTGCTGCCYGAGGTTTGGATCTCGGATCTTTGGACCACAGGAGGCCGGGTCTGCTCCGCTGGGTATGTGCAGGGCTCTGCAGACCAGAGCCTCACAACGCAGGGAGCTGTTGGAGTGTGAGCACGGGCAGCCTGGTGATCTCTTCTGCAYGTTGCCAGTAGTGTCAGAGATACCAGCGTGCCCCACATGGCATCTGGCTGGGGTCATGGCCTAGGTACAAGACTAGCACATGGACTAGGTGCACAGACTGCAAGARAAGACTAAGCCAAGCTTACCTCACACCCCTGTCCAACACACACCTTCTCTGGTGGCCTCCACAGAACTCTGCTGAGAGCACAGGCATGGGATCACCAAAGCATGAGGAAGAAGATGAGGACATGAGGGAGAAGGAGATGCAGATGGAGTCCCTGATCTGTGCCTTCGAGTGCCTGGGCAAAGCCTGGCCAAGGAGCCTGGAAACGCAGCGTGAGTCAGCGGCGCGAGCTCTTTTCCTTGACACTGTCTCACCCTAGAAGTAAAAGCAGAGTGGAGAAAACCTGAAGATTGTATGGAAGGTTGCGGGGGGAACTGCAGGATTTCACTTCCTGCAGCTGGCAAGATCCTTTCAGGTGTTCAGTGAAAAAGCTGACCCAAAAACTTMCATACAGAGTAGATATCCCTGGCTAAACTCCTTGCTCTTCCCTTCCTGGAACTGTGCCGAGTTTGTAGGAACATAAGACTTGTAGGGTATAATCTTCTAATGCAGGGTGCCTGATGTGGCACATTAACCAGAAAAAGTCTGGTTCTGATGGCTACAGTTACTTTGCATCAAAGTTGGCAGGTACAAGGTGAAAGAACTACACAGATCTGAAAAAACGGGCCGGGGTTTCAGCCTGGGTAGCTGAAAATGAGGGGTATCATGTTGCTTTTAGGAACGTGACAGAGGGAGTGTGTGAATATTTATATTCTAAAGTTTGTTAATCAAGGGGTTGTTCTTCTGGGGTCCCTTGGTACAAGATGTAGCTCAGTGTGGGAGGTGGAGCAGGGAATGTTTCTGCTTTTTGTCTTTGCAACACAATGACATCCTTGCTGCCCGGCAGGTTGCTATCGACAAGAATTTTGCAGGTTGATGTGTGAGCGTCTGAAGCTCAGTACGTGGAAGGTGCAGCTTGAGGTGCTCCAGGCCATGAATTCATTCTTTAAAGGGTAATTTTTATAACTGTGCTCTGACTTGATGTTTTCCTTGACATGTGAAGCTGTTTTGTGAGATTGTGGCAAAGGTAGCTCTGTTGTCTCAGAGAAAGCTGAGCAGATGTGCAGAAGGGYGTCTATGGGTGTCTCACAGTGATTTGCATTTGGCAGGTTAATGCTGTTCGATGAGGAGCACTCGGATCCCGAGGCTTTGGCGGGAATATTGTTGGAAACCTGCTCATCTATCACCTATTCTTTAGGTAAATGGACTTTTCCCAGTTTGTGTTTGATGATGGATTACTTTTTATACTGCCTTTCTCTGAAGGCTGGCAGGCAGAGGAAGTGAAGGATAAATGTAGCCTTCTGGAGATGACRCTTCACCCATCTTTGCATCACACAGTGATTATTTTCATTGGGCAGTAGCTGTTCAGGACCYGCAGTGTACAGGGAGACCCAAAAAGTTAGGTTTGTTTGGTGAGAGGGAGCTTCAGAGGGAAGGGAAGGAGAATAATCCTGCACAGGTACCTGTCAAGAATATGAACCTGAAACTCAGTGCTTTTTGTTGTTGTTTTGTTTTTCCCCTGTAGAAAATTAACCCCATCCAATCAAGCTATTAGTGATGTAGTGAAAGAATACTTTCCTGCTCCCTAGGTTCAGACTTCCTGGGTACATTGCCTGGAGGATACCCCGGGACGGGACGGGACGGGGCGGTTCGGGCAGCCTGGCCCGAGCCGCGGAGCCGCGGCGCTGTCCGTGCGGGGAGCGCGTGTGGGTGCCACCGTGTGYCCTGCACAGCGTGACCGTGCCGGGGTGTGGGGCAGCGCGGGCAGCTTTCCGGCTTTGTCCTGGGACTGAGGCAGTGCCCACACGTCCTCACATCCCGYTGCAGGGGTGTGCACTGTGCAGCCAGACCCGCACGCACAGGACACACAGGACAGAGCAGTTTGTTATAACCGTGGAGTGGAGTGGGGTGTTTACAAGACACAGCTTCTGAAGACTGCAGCCTGCTGCTTGATTTGCCTAGGGTTTATCTACCCTCCCTTCATACTGTCTATTGATAGTGGTGGTTCGTAGCCATTACAGTTCCTTAAAAGCCAAGTCCTACACACAGAAACGGTTTGTGATCGCGCTGCAGCGGGGCCAACGCGTTCCCATCAGTATGAGGAAGACAGAGCCGCTGCCTGAGCCTTCATGTTCCTGTTGGCCCGTATTTGCGTACTCTCTGCCCCACACATGTGATGATAGGGAGCCCTGCGGCACAAAGGAGCTCCGTGAGCTGAGGAACAAGAGCCCTCTGGAGACCACGGTGCTTTTTGCTTCTTGTGCAGTTAGTGTGCATTTGCTTCTGAATGTGTGATACTTTTTTTCCCTTTAGAAAACAAAAGCTACACATCCATAAGAACAGAAGCTTTGTCCGTGATAGAGCTGCTGTGCTCCAAGCTGAGTGGTGAGGATCTTCATATGTTTCCCGGTGGGAAAGTCAGCGTGTGGGGACGGCGGCGCATGGCCCAGGGCCTGGAGAGGGGCAGTTCTGCTTTTGGGCTAGCTGAGCAGTGTGCATGGAGCTAGGGAAGGATGTGTGGGACATGGAGCTGGGAAACACGGAGAGGGCCTGAAGGGGAAGCCAGGGTGTCCAGGACCACCTCCGGGGAGCGTGGGACGGGCTGGAGAGGCTGTTCCCAGCTTGCAGGCCTGCMCAGTGTGCAGGCTGCATGAGGAGGGGGCTTTGGCTGTGCAGARCTCCAGAGCTCGCTCCTCGCTGCCCCCTTGGAGTTCATCCAGGGCAGGATTCCCCCTGTGCAGGGAATCTGCCCGGGTGCTGGTGCGCCGAGTCTGCAGCTGCTCCCTGGCGGGTGTTTGCTGCTCCCTGCCAGCCTCCTGTGTGTGCTCTTCATCCCTCTTGCATAACACAAAGGCAGAAACATTCCTCACGTGTCCTGGGCTTAGGAGTGAGGTTCAGCCTGCTTTAAACGGGCACAGCTCCCTGTGCAGGAGGTCGTACGTGTCCTCCCAGCCGAGGCTGCTCTTTGGTAGCTGCCCACTCGAGGATTTGATGTGAGTGAATTGTGAAACAGTCTCTTCAGAAGAGCCTGTCCAAGCATTGAGAAAATGTTTAGGGCTTTTTTTTTTTTTTTTTAAATTTATTTTCCATTCTGGTATTCCAAGTCCTGTATCTGTCTCTCTTTATCTACGCAGAGGCTAAACAGTGGGGATGCCTGGCACCAGAAAGCAGAGACCGCCTCATTTGCTCCTTATCCGCAATGGCATCAGACAGCAGGCCCGAGCTGCGGGAGAAGGCCTTTACACTGAAGAAAACACTTGAAAATATTGACTAAATTGTAAACGCAAACTATAGAAGTGCCATGTAAAACAAACAAAAAAAAGTGCAGTGGTCTGAAAGCCAAGTGGGAAAGTGAAGATTACTCTGTAGCATGCATCGTTTCTGGCCAAAATAAAAAATGCCTTAAATTCTCTTCCCCATTATTATTATTATTCCCYTATTTTTGCTCTTTTTAAGCTACCCAGGTAGTTATATATCAGTGAATACCTCTAGCGATCGCCCTAGAATGCTTGCAAGCGTGCAGCACGAAGCGGCGCTCAGGGCGAGACGCCTGTGTGATTTTTTTCTTTATTTAAATAGGCAAAAGAATGTTGCTCAGATCCCCTCTGTCCCAAAGAGATGGTTGGAAACCGGGAGCAGGGCCCCAAGAAGCAGGAGGGATCCTGCCGGGTGCCGCGTCCCTCTGGCCCCGGGATCGGATCCAGTGCCAGCCCTGATCCYGGCCGTGCCCGGAGCCCCCCAGGCTCTCCCTGCTCCTGCGGGGCCTTGGGAGGTTCCTTCGGGGAACGTTTGCTTCTCCTCAAGGGATGCACAAGAGAGCACTTTATGGAGCGCTGCGGGACACGTGGCCGGCTCTGCTCGGGTCCCGGCGGAACACTGCTCTTCTCAGCGTTGTTTTGCATGGACACTCCTCAGCTGCAGGAAAAAATATAGGGATAAATAAGTAAAAAGCAGTCTTTTCTAGATATGTTTTTGAAGATTGTTCGGAGTTTGCGATGATACATCTTTTGATAGTAGTAATCTTTCTTTTCTTCTTCATGTTTGTAGCCCTGTTCTTGCTTTGGAAGCCTGTAGTGACTTAGACTCGTCAGTGTTTGTAACAAACTGAATCATCTGTCATTTCACAGCAGCCCGATCCATACTGGTTTCTACTTCCAAACTTGCACTTAGGAGGAAGGAACCTACCTGCATTAACTTGGAGTGGAATTCCCAGGTGGTGACGTGGCCGGGCCCGCGCGTCCGCTTCTGCTTCCTTGGGCGACAGACCCGGCGCTACCAGCAGGCGCCCGGCGGGGTGCCGGTGCCGCCGTGCCCAGCCTGGCCTGTGCGTGTAAGCTGTSGCCTGTTCAGCTTTCCTGGGCTCGCCGGTGGTGACGTGGAACGCCGTGTTGGCAACGGCACCCCCGTGGCTCTCAGCAGGGAAAGGTTCGCTCCTTGCTCGTGGTGCCGGCTGCTCCGGCCTGCCGTGGAGCCGAGCATCACTCGGATAGGATTCCCAAGGGATCCCCGGGACGCTGGGATGGAATTCCCAGGAGATACCTGGTATACCGGGATGGGATTCCCAGGGGATACCCAGGATGCTGGGATGGAATTCCCAGGAGATACCCGGTATACTGGGATGGGATTCCCAGGGGATACCCGGGACACCGGGACGGGATTCCCAAGAGATTCCCAGGACCCCGGGATGGGTTTCCCAGGAGATTGCCGGGATGCCAGGATGGCGTTCGCCCGCTCCATGCCCATCCGTCCCATGCACCGGCCTTTTCCTCCAATGCCATTTCCCATCCAGTATTTTCTAGTACTGTAACTGTATTTAGCCGTCTGGTTTTTATCCATGGAAGGGAGGGATGTAATCAGTGCACACCTGGTAAGAGAACTTGGGCAAAAATGGGCAGATCTGTCCGACTGTGGCACTTCTGTAGCAGAAACCTCAGCATCGGATACTCGGTAAGACGCATCTTGTGCTGGAGTCGGTCAGCGAGCAACTCCCTGGTGCGGAGAGCTGGTGCTATAATGCTCTGATTTACACCTTGTTGCAGGGAGCTGCGTTTTGTTTACATGCAGTTTGAACTGTTAAGCACAGTTGTAAATTTTAAAATCTTATTGGGGAGAAAAACAAATCACTTTATGATCTCGTTGAAATCTTGCTCATCATGACATGTGGTGTCATGAGTGCTCAGTTTTTTCTGGATCAGTATTACCAGTGATGCTTTTGCTGTAGCAGTTTCTGTCTGACTCGTTTTTTTGTGGGTTTCTTCGTTTGTTTGTGTTTTGGTTTTGGGTTTTTTTTTGGTGTTGGTCAGCATTACAGTTACAGAAAAGCAAGACTCTCCAGGTCTCTGGTAATTTGATTTTTCACTGTGGACTGTAGTGTGCAGAGGCAATGCCTGATACGGGCAAATGACTATGAGTAGAGTAACTCTAATAGTGGTCAATAGCAACTTGTATTTCACTAATGGGGATTTAAACTATATCAAAGAGCTCGTTTGAGGAAATCTAAAACCAGCTGAATTAACAACCCTGGCTGAGATTGTTAGGGCGGTTAGAGGTTTCTCTGTGAATCACAAAGCAATATGTTCTTGTGTGGTTACAGGATCGATTCAGAGACCCTCTCTGAAGGATGTGCCTATACACAAAACCTACCTGCACCAGAGTTAATTCWGCCACAGGTTTGATTTCCTCTCCTGCTCATTTGTAAACTTGACAGGATTAAAAAAAAAATAAAAAATAAATAAATTGTGGCCTTCCTAGAGTTTTTCCTCTAAAAGTGATTGCACTATGTAAAACACACTGTACTACTTAGCCCAGCGTGGGCGTTTCGTGTGCTGCTGCGCTGCTGCTTTGTGCACCCGGAGCGAGGTGTGCGCTTGGACATTAGCGCRCCTCCTACCCAAGAGCTGCTGTTGCTTACGTGGATGTATATTGAGAAACGTTTTCTAGTGTTGCAAGGTCTCCATCAAACTCACTGCATTCTGTACGTGGCTGTTGAAGTATGTAAAGGGATTGATTGAAAGGAAACCCTCCTGCTTACCAAAAAGGTAAAAACTAAATAAAGTTGCATGACCTGTCCTTGGAAGAAACTCGTGTTTGTTTTCTGTCTGTGCCCCTTTCACAGTATTTCCATCCTCTTAYGTTCAAAGCAAACCTGTGTGTTGTGCTCTTAGCTGGTGTGTTTGTGCTTTCCAAACATGCAAAGCCAGATTCCTGCCTTTCATTCACAGAGCATCCCAGCGAAGCGATGCCGTTTGTCTTGGTGGAGGGATAACTCACAGCATGGGGTTTTTTTCACTCCCTGTCAGATTAGCTTTTATTTCAACAACTAACTCATTTCTCACACTTCCAAGGAGGAGGTTTCTGCAGACTATGGAATTAATTCCTATGTGAACATCTGACTGACTATCAGCATGTGAGGAATCTGTCCCGTTTCCACTAGAGAAACATGCAGTGACAGTGAGGTGAAACATTCCAGAAATAGGTCAGTTTAGGGTACACTGACCCTGCCTGAAACAGGAGCACATGAGGGCTCCTTTTCTGCAGTGATTGCTGCTCTTGAGGTCACAGCTGTGAGATTTGAATTAACTAGAGGATGGTTTTTCTGAGATAAAGCCAGTTGGTTTGAGCTAATGCCAACCAACCACCCTGGGAAGTATCGCTCGGACACTGTTTAAATGGAAGCTGATTGAAAAGGAGTCCCAAACTCCAGCTGTGAAAGTCAGGGCCTCAGCAAAGCTGCACTAGTCCCAGGCAGAAAATGGTCATACCTGCAGTGGAAACAGGCAGAAACAAATTTGTATGGGATGCTGACAGAGTTAATGCATTTTGTGGTTTGAATCACACTGCGAGCTGCTGGAGGGAAATCACGGCACCGGGGGCCCCGCAGAACCTCAGTGCCACCTTCCTCGTGCAAGTGCGAGAGGAACCRCAAGGCAGATGCTCTGCTGGACCTTGTGCTTGTGACGAAGGAAGGACCAGTTGGAGGTGGGAAGGCTGGGGGCAACCAGGGCTGCAGTGACCATGAGGTGATGGATCCTGCTAGGAGGGAGTGGGGCAGGATCACAGCCCTGAAATTGAGGGCAGATTTTAGCCTCCTTGCAGAGCTGCTCAGAAGAAGCCYGTAAGATAGGACTGCAGGTGGAAATGGGGGTCCAGGAAAGATGGTTGGAGGCCAAGGTCTGTTTGGAGTTTAAGCTGGCCAGGAATGTCAAGGACTGCAGGAAGGACTTCCTCAAACACACCAATAGCAAAAGGAAGGCCGGGAAACGGCCGGCTGCCGGCAGGGCCCAGGACGCAGAGAGGATGGGTGCTGGATTCCTTCCCGGCCTCAGCGCATCCTGCTGAGAGCCCTCACTCAGCCCCAGCCCAGGGCATCRAGGCTTTCCCTTGGTGGAGGCAGATGGGAGGAGTTCCGTTTTACAAACCGGATCACGAGCACGTGCTGAGCCAACGTTACTGCAAGGCCACTCTCAAACATCCTTGAAAAGTCACAGGGAGCCCTTTGTGCCCAGGGMCGGGAGGAGAGGCCAGAGGCCAAATGAAACAGCTACTGTGAGCCCTGGAGCAGGGTGTGCTGGGCGGCTGCTCCATCGTCCTGAGGCTGGAAATCCCTTTGGACACTGTCCTTGACACCCTCCCTGCCCCCCAATGACTCTACCTGGGCTGTGGGGCTGGATGAGGGACAGTGGTGCAGGGAGGAAGGGACCTTCTCCCCTCCAACAGCAGGGACTGCAACGGCTTCTTCATGAACCAGGACAGCAACCGGCTCAGGTTAGAAGCTGGATTTTCTGATTTGAGGGTTAAAGAGTCTTAGTTAGGAGGAAAAAGTGTTTTAAACAAGATTGATTTGTTTTTCTGGAGCCTGAGAAACACAAGGGCCGTGAAGATTGAGTGTTTGCCCACTTAAATTTGAGTCTAGAGGAGCCAGCTTTGCTACAGCCCCCCCGCTGAAGAAACCCAGCTGCAGCAAGTCTCGCTTTACCTTTCATGTTCCTTGTAAAAAGAAGAAAAACATAAGTGAAGAGAAAATTACAAGTTAGCATTTTCCAAATGTTTGCAGTTTCTATGAATGCTGTAACCCAGAGTTCACAGACTGCAGAGAACTAAAGAATGAGGGTTTAATGAATAGAAGTTCAGAATTGATAAAAGATGTTCACTTATTAAAATGCACATATAGAATCAGAAATTATTTATTAAAAAATACATTCATAGAGAAAATTGTRAAGTATTCATCACTCAATTATCTTGCTTAAGAAAAAAGTTACAGTAGTTAAAAGCTGTCACCTTTTTCCTATGGACTGACAAGAAAAATACAGGACTTATACTTGGCGATAAGGTTCCTAAACTCCTTAAAATATTATAAGTAGTATTAGATCCTTTCTGCATCTGTTCAAAGGCTATAGTTACTCTTGTTCCTCTGCAGAGCAAGCTACTGCTAACATGCATTTGTTCGGAAACACTAAGAAATGCAAATTGAAAGTACATCAAGTGGTCAGTTCTGTGAGCATTAAAAGCAATCTGCCATAAAGAGATAGAAGGTGCAGATGTGAAATAAACTTTACCTAGAAGCAATTTAAAATGTAGCACTACCAATAAAGTTCGTCCCTGTGGGTTTGCCCACGAGGTCCCCGTGTTAGTTGGCGAGGATTCCCCGTCCTGGAACCTTCTCCTTCGGCAGCCCCTTGCTCTCTTTGCTGCTGGTCGCTGTCTTGTTTCTGCTCTGAGTTTGGTCGTATCTTGCGACCGTGGAGACCCCGTCCACAAACTTGGTCTTGTAGAGGACATTTGCATTGTTGAACATCCCATCCTTCAAGGATACCACGATAAACTACAAACAAACAAACAAACAAACGCTTAATGGGGTAAATGCTGCTATTTGAGTGAGGTACTTAGCAACTGAAAGAGTCTCATAGAAAGATCCTACTACTTGACTATGATTGTGGCGCTAGTTCTTCAACATACAGAACACAACTGAACCACATCAGAATGAGCCATGTAGGTGAACACCTGCTACTGCTCTCAGGTCTTGACACACCAGTCACTGCAAAACAATGTCACCAGGTTTATGCAAAGAATATGCAGCATCTTCCAAAGTCCCAAAACACCAATTAAATGATTTCACAGTACTGGTAACAAAAGTTCTTGCCACCAAGCAGAGGCAAGCATACTTTTCATGCTTGTTTCAACAGAGTCCAAAATAAGATAGCTGAATTCAACTGAAAGACCTTCAGATCAAGATAATAATAATGTGATACCCCAGTATCATTACCTGGGAGTGTCTGAAGTGGTTGTGCAGCATCTGTCCGATGTTCTGGGTATGAGAGAGGTCAAGGGCTGCATCCACTTCGTCCAGGATGTAAATTGGGGCAGGTTTGAAAAGAAGCATGGCTAAGATCAAAGACAAAGCCACCAGTGACCTAGGTTGGAGAAAAAGAGAATTACATTTTACCTTCTGGTTTGAAAAACTTTCTCTGATGAAAATAACAGTTTGGTTGAAAATCTCTCAAAAAGTTTCACGCTGAGAGTCCTAGAGAGTGTGAATGACAGCTCCTAACAACGAGGTTCGATTTTCCCATTTATGGGAAATGGGATAGAAATAACATTTTCTTCTGATAAAAGATAAAAGTGTACTTAGATTACGGTATTTATGTTTTTACCAGTTTTCAATTGTGAGACTTACAGTATGTACTGTTTCTAAAACTTAAAATTCTTGAAATCTTCAGGATATTTATTCTCCAGAAGATTTACCATCTTATATTTCCCCTTTTCCTAAATTCTGTTTTTACTGCTAAACTTGTCAGATTTTCCGTAGAAGCTGCTGTACTCCTGGGAAAGAGCTTGTAGCCTATGCAGCAGCTGAAATCTGTCCTAATGGTACTAAAGGAAAAACAGGTAAGAAAATCTTGTCACCATACTATTTTTGAATTCAGTTTTTGAACTTGCCTGCAGAGATTTTTGAGACTCAGAGATGGGAACATTTAGCATCAACACTAACTCCCTATTCCCTAGAGTTAATACAGTCAGAATTCATTTTTGTCACTTTTGTGGATTATTTTTCTGCTATTATATGCTAAGCAACACATTGTGTGTGATGTTCTAAGTCACATTCCTATTGTTTATAAACGTCTCTCATAGGCGTGTATATTAGTACATTTAACCTGAACTATATTATGCTTTCACTTTACCAATTTGCAATTGTGAGATTTACAGTACTGTTCCTAAAACTTACAAATCTATACTGATCGAGTATTAAACCAGATTAGAAAAGCAAAAAATGATTATTTTTACCTGGAAGGAGATTGGTCAAAACAGGAACTCCCTCCTTCCGGATAAAAGAGATTCATTTTTGCTTTGGGTTTATCACATACATAACTGCAACTTAAAAAAAAAAAAAAAAAGGAGAGAGTGAGACAGAGAGATCACAGACCTTTGGCCTCCACTAAGTTCTGTTAAATTTTCTTTCCATATGTTTCCTAAGGCCACTCTGAATTCCAGACCTTCTAAGATATTCTGACATTTAATTGCTGCCAGCATAGCCTTGGCTCCTGGTAGTAACGTGGAGAAAATTGAACCGAAGTCTTTGTTCACCTAGAAGTCAAGAGAATCACAGATATTTGTAAAGACCTGAGACCTGCTGTGTGCTTCCAGTGAGAGCTGCAATGGCTAGACACGTTATGCTCTAGCTTTCTTGTCCAACTTAGCTCTTACATGATGATTAGCTCATTTTGGATATACGCCTGAATAAATCTTCTGAAAGGACAAGAACTTTGAATTGCTCCAATATTACTGAACTCACCAGAGTCAGGAGCTGTGGCCCAGGCCCACAGCCCCACAGTTGTTTAGGGCTGCTATATAGTCAAAACCAGGATTTTTATTCTGAACAGAGATTTAAGTACACAAAGAAGTTGGAGAAAACAGCACTATGATATCAGTCTATGTGTGAGGCAATGATTTCAGCATGCAAGTAGCTTAACCCTGTTTCTATCGGCAAACAGTGAAAAAAAGGTAACCTAATTTTCTGTTGTCTTTATAGGTGTCAGACCCAGTTCATCTTTAGTTACAGAAGTAAGAGGAAAATGTAGAAGAAAAAGCAGTATTTTTGTAATCTAGATACAAGGGAATGGAGACTAGTTCAGGAATAAGATTTTAATAGAAATATTCAAAACTTACATGTCTATACTAATACTAAACTAAGGAACTTGACTGTCAAGAGAAAACATATTCTAAAAGGTGAAAAGGAGATTTTGAGGGGCATACCTTTTGCCAAGCAATGTACAAAGCTTCATTTTTCTTCTGGTCAAGCTCTTCAATAGTTGCAAGAATTTTAGACTTGTCATTCTCAACAATTCTTTTTTTCTTCATTAAGTCATTGTACTGGTGCAATGAGAATGATTTCAATATATTTTGAGCAAATTTCATAAAAATTATAGAAAATTAAACTGTACGTATGAAAGCTATTATTCACAAAATTGAAATTACAAGCATTCACTTAACCACAGCAGGATTCAGGTTTAGGATATTATTTATATTTTACAAGTCTTGAAGAACAAGTAAGGTTAAAATGTCAGCTGATTTACAGCTTTTACACAGTCCTGAATTACCTTTAGGATAGAGATGAAAGGTTGCAGATTTAAAAAAAAAAAAAAAAAAAAAAAAAAAAAAAAAAAAAAAAAAAAAAAAAAAAAAAAAAAAAAAAAAAAAAAAAAAAAGATAATTAAGTATGTAATTCTAAAATACTTCAATGGATACTCTAAAACTCTCTTATTGTTGCTGTAGACAACTTAGAATAAATACACTGATGTAAGGGAAGGAATGAAATCAGACTTTTTACTGTCCAAAGTTAACAGAGTATGCCTAACCTGGATTATTAAACGCACAAATAGTTTAATCATGTAAAATTAGTATCAAAGCTTCTCCTGAAGATGTCCTGTTATGACATGAATTTTTACTATTAGTCTTAGGGGCATGCAGCAACTGAGTATATTGAAAACAGCGAGCTAAACTACCTAACCTCTAAGGATAAAGCACAGAACATTTACCCTCTCTTCTGCCTCAGAAAGCATATTCATGGCTCTCATGTTCACGTTTTGTCCCAGCTTCTCTTTCTTCTCTTGCAATTTCTGGAGCTTCTGACCAGCTTCTTTTGGATTGTTAGTTTTGAAGTCGTAGGCTGTGTTTGGCTGACCGAAGAGCGGCTTCTCTGAAGCTATCCATTCATATTCTTTCAACATTTTGGCTACCTGCAAATATACGAGTAGTAAACATACTGAGGCTGTATTTTTTTAAAAAAGAATTAGCAAATTAACATCCTAAAATTATTATACAACATTATGTTTATCCCAACCCATCATGCATGGGTATCTTTACAAGATTTCACATGATTTCCAAGATGGCAAGAGAATCAAACATTTAAGGGATTTTCTGTATGTATTTGACACTTACTGCTTGAAACTCTTGTTTTTCCTTATTTGGGTAAGACACTGCTATTGACTTTTCATGTTAGCTTTTTTAAAATTAGTATCTGATTGGTCCAAAAGATCAGTTTTCTTTTCATTGACTGTCTTTCTATTCTGGTCTGTTTTCTGCAAGTCTATACTCATGAGCTCTTTTACAACCCAGAGATGAACTCTTAAAATTTCCATTGCTTTTTGCTTAAAATTTTTCATAGAAAGATCTACCAATATGACAGTGCSTAGTATAAAAGTCTAACCTCTTTGCCTGCAGTGAGGGAAATAAGCGCTTTTATTTACTTAGATGCAAGGAAAAGCACATTTTTCAAATACCTTAGCAGCAGCTTCAGCAGCTTCTTGCTCGTGTTTACTGATGTTGTGTTCTAACTCTTTGACTTTCAGCTGCAATTCATTGTTCTGTTCTCTGTATGCTACAGTCTCTGCAGATTTGTCTTTTATTTCTTGATCCTGTACAGCAATGATTTCCTTCTGCTTGGCCAGCTCCTTCTGAGCTTTCTCTACAGACTCCTGGAAAAAATATAGGAATGGCATGGATTAGATCTCCTCTTTTTAAATAAACTGCTGTTAGATACGTGGTAAGACAAAAAAAAAAAAAAAGACAGAAAAAAAAATCCCACAAAAACCATAATAAAGCCAAAAAATAACTACTTAGACAAAACATGCGTTCTGAGAAAAAAAAAAGGTCCAGATAAAATCCAAACGAGATGCACCTTATAATTAAAGCTTTTAAGGTTGATACCTCAAATCACATCGAACCTAAAAATGAAACACATTCACTTTTACCTTGTTCTTGGACACTTCAGCTGCCATAGCATTAACCTGTTCCTGGAAGGACTTGATAGCTTCATTTGCAGCCTCCATCTGTTGTTTATAGGAGCACTGTTCTCGTTTTAACTCTTCAAGCTCCAGAACTAAGGCATCAACTTCCTAAATAATTGTGTTCAGAGTACAAAAGGTTACATTTAAATGGCAACAGTAATTCCCAGATCAATGTAAAAAAAATGCTGCACAAAACACCTGTAGAAAATGTCATAGTGTCTGTTCTTCCGCAGTACAATTATCTCACAAAAGCGAATAAGCAATTTCTTCATGTCAGTAATTACAAATTCATGTTTTCTGAAACTGATGATACAAAAATTTTAGGAGAATCAAATTTTTGCAGCTCTATTTTGCTTATTGCAAAAGCTTTTTGTAGGAGAATTGCTAACACAGATTTTACCTGCTGCTTTTCTTTCATTTTTTTGCTTGAGGCATCTGCTTTTTTCTTTGTGTCATCCAGTTTCTGCTGGGCATCTTTTAGTTCTTTTTCCCGCTCTGCTTCTGCATTTTTCATTTTGTTCTCCAATACTTTGTATTTTTCTTCTGCTTTCTTTTGACTCTCTTTAGCTTTCATTAAAGTTTCTTCACACTGCTCTGAATCAGTAATACAGCACTTAAATTGGACATTGTTCTCGTCCTTAGGTTTACATACTTAATTCCAGCTGAAATCATCTGTCTTTCTCTATTAGATAAAAAGCTTGCTAATTATTGCAGTCAGCTATTTTAACGATTGCTCTTTTAAAGACAGCACGCTACTGCTATCAAGTAGTGGTAAGGCAGCAAAGAGAAACGCATCCAACCGCCAAAGATTCAAAACAAACAAAAGAAATCACACACACACAGAGTCAAGAATTATTAATCAAATGGCTACAAAATAAGTAACATATTATCTTTGATATATCAGCTCTACCCTCTATTTTTCCTTTAAATGTCTGCTTAMTGTTGCAGTTCCTTCCTTTTACATTGCTCCCTAGCTATATGAACAATATTTTTCCAATGATTTCTTATCAAATCACTTATATTGCAAACTGAAGATACCTAAAACCAATGAATTTTGGTGAGATGTGCACGACAGGAGGGAGACAATAAAAAACAAAAAGAAAACAAACAATAACAGCAGCATAACCACACTTATATAAAGGATTTTATTCCAAATATGAATCAACCTCCGTGCAACATCATTTTTCTAGTTATTATAAAGGATATAAAATTCCAATAAGTATACAAGCAATATTGCAAGAGAATGAACTTTACTTTCAGAATTTAACTTTGTCAGAATCTCTCCATATGCTAATCAACTACAATTTTTATTTGTTTTATATTCCAAGATACTCTAAGACAGTATTTTGAAAGCTAGAAATATGTGCTTTGAGAAGCAAGTATTTTGCTGTGGAGACATCTGGATGTTCATGGCAATATCCATCTCATTTTCAGCAATAATTTTTCAGTTAAATTAGAAGAGATTTGTCTCACCAATGGTTTTCTTCAGGGCATTCAGTTCTTCCTCTTGTTTGTGATAAGCACTCTGCTGAAGCTTGGCTTGCAGTAGTTCTACTTCTTCGGACTTCATCTCCCACTGCTGCTTCAATTGTTGGTACCTTTGGGGAGAACAAGCGATAAACTCTGCTTTTATGAAGGGTTCCCAGCACTCAGCTTCTATGTTGAAACATAGAAATACAGAAGAATTTATATTCCCAGTCTAAGATGCAGTGAGATACAATGATGCACTGGACAAGTGACAGCACTGACAACTACCTGCTTATGAAGCTCGTAAGGGCTATGAAACAAACAAGCCCACATAGATAAGTGTCTGATATTGTTTCTTTAGGGACCATCATGAAGTATAAGTATGTGCAATTCAATACAGTAAGTGTAAGTATGTACAATTACTATATATGTGGACTCAAAAGATACATAACAACAAGTGCAATAGATGAGTGAGTCTGGCAGCAATTCAGAGGTCAKGTTTTTCAACCAGCAGGATGAAATATTTTAGACAGAAATACTAAAGGAAAATTACAACCGAGTAAAACCAGCTTTTTCCTTTGGCCATATTTCTGAAAAGTGATCATGATGACAGATTAAAAAAAAAAAATTGAAAAATAAATCCACAAATAAATATCATACAAAACCCACAGCCTTCTTATGGTATTTTATAGGACAAACCAATTATAGGTTATTATCCATCTGTCAAAAGTATCTACATAGTTAATTAAAGCTGAAATCAAAGTACCTGAGAACAACTATTCTTAAAATATTGTAATTTAAGTCTTTTCAACAGTATCTGCCAGAAATTCTCCTCTAGCAGCCGTATTTTTTCTGATAGCTCAGACTTCTTCCAAGAATCTGTAACAAAATATGACTGAGGCAAATCTATTCTTTGGTATATTTAATGTGAACTTTGGAAACTTTGAACATATTTCAAATAGATGATATCACATGATAAAATTGTTTTTATTTGTTTAAACCATTATTGTTATCCAAAGTCAAGTTTGTTGGTTCCTTCTGTTTTTCCTGTAAATTGTATCCAACAATTTCTGTTGGATAGAAAAGAGTTCATCTGTTCTGCATAGAGAGTACAAGAGACCTGATGTCCTCTAAAAGTCTTTCTTAGAATTACAGTCATATAAAAAATAACAGGTATTTATATAAGATAGCACTTACTTTTCAGCAACATTCTTTAAATTTGCCAGCTCTTTTTCTACAGCTTCAAGTTCAGATTCCTTTGCTGCAAGTTCTTTTTCAACCTTTTTAATTTCTTGAAGTTTAGACAATATTGGTACAGACTGTGAACTTGAACCTGTTAACAAAATAAAAAGCAAAATCAAGCTATTTGAAATCAGTCTAGTGAATTCAGCACCAGCAACTAATAAAATCTAAATCATATTGATAAGGCAGACTGCAGATTCATATTAGTTACAAAAGAAAACAGTAAGACAGCAAATAAAAAGCAAACAACCCAAAACAAACATGAAACCACAAAAAATCTGGAAAGATTTAAAATGACTCTCAGTTGTGATAGAGCACCTTTCAGTACGAAAGGTACCGTCCCCAAAATTCTAAATACTAAAAATACATTTTAAGTATTTAAAAAAAATATAATATATATTTATCTATTTTATATACATTTTAATGTAAAATACACCAACTTTTCACTTTCATTTACCTCATATACAAGTGCCTAAATTTAAAGTATTTCTTCTCAATATTCCTTAAGAGGTTTCTGAAGTCAAATAAGTATTTAAGTATTTAAAATCAAAAGTTCTTTATGCAAATAGTTTGTCATTGCTGTTCCTTTTCCTATTCAAATTACATTCCAAATTCAGTTTAAAGAGATACAGAACATGTCTTTGCTCAAAGAGATCATATTATTCTATATATGAGTCTAACTACAATTTCACTGCTCATTTTTATATTAAAAAAGCAAACAATAAACATGCAGAGCAGGAAGCAAACCAACACAAACACGGTATTATCATAAGAACAAAAACAGTAGTTGCCTCCACTTAGAGTGCCCCGGGGGTCAAAAGTTTCTCCATCGAGCGTAACACTTTTTATCATTATTCTTTTGTCAAAGGTCACTCTCTTGGCATTAGTCATGTTGTCACAAACCAAYGTTGTTCCAAACACATATTCCATGGCCTTCTGCAGTTCAGGTTCATATTCAACTAGACAGAGCGCCAAATGCAAGCTATCATTGCCAACCTAGGAATTGAAAGAAACGAAGTTAGTATGCCTAATATTATAAGCTTTTGCAATTCCATTTCTGGCATCTTTTGATAAAGATACTTTGGAGGAACATTGCCATTTAAGAAAAAAATGTAATTAAGAATGAAATAATAATTAAACATTGTAAACTATGATGTAAACTAGGCATTTCAAAATTATAAAGTAAACAATTAGATCAGGAGACTCTCAAGCCCCAAAGAAATGTTCTTAGATATAAAACTATGAAGAGTGGGTTTTATCTATAAATATACAAATAAATAAAGATATCAAGCAAAATAAAGTACTTATTTACATACCAAGTTTTTGGCCAGTTTGATAGTTTCTTGTGCAATACACCTGGCTGAAATTTTGTTTAGCGGAATGACAGTGTATCGTCTCTTTAGTCCACCATTTTCCAAAAGTTTTTTACCAGTAACCTAGAGTAAAAAACATTATATAGCATACATGAATATATAATTCTTTTAAAATTAAGACAATATGAAATTGTAATAGGAATAATACAAGTTTACTGTTGTTAACAATTGTACTTGGCAGTACTGATCTAAAACATACACTCACCCAAAGTACTCTTAAGCAATCAGTTATAAAACACAAGATTTCTAACATGAATCACGTGACCTAACTYCAGTATTTGCACTTTCATATTAAATTAATAAGCATACCTCTGTGTCCACAACAATGTTATAGAGTTTTCCTCCAGCCACCACTTCTAGGGCTTTTGCTGTGGATATGTCTTTCACAATGATAAGACATGCAACAAGGCCTTTTACAAGGGTTCGATTCCAGTTTTTTTCTGGATCCCTTAAAATATAATTATTCATATCAGAGATATGGTTCTTTTCATGATTTCTTTAAAAAATTGTTATTAAAAATCATATGACTTATTATAAATGTATAAGAGATTTAAATTCTGATAGAAGAAAAAGGTTAACTGATGTAATTCACAACATTTTTTTCAACCAATCTTAYAATAAACCAGTACAACTACATGAATATGCAAATTCAATTTTTTTTTTCTTTTTTAAACTTAAAGTACATAACTTCATGCAAGTTTTTGACTGGCCAATAAAGTACAGTGTTGAGTTCACAACATGAATCTATTCATAATCTCTAGGGAAGACCTTACTGTGATATGTAACCACTAGGTTTCAGAGAGATCCAAACAGTAGTTTTCTTTTTTTTTTAAACAAACAAACAATCCAACAAAAATACTGAACTTTAAACTTGAGCTATTGCTTGCAAACTCCATCTTACATTTTTTTTTTTTTTTTTCAATTCAAGTGACTTTGATAAAACTGCAATTTACAAAGTTTTCCCTGCTGGTCATTAATTCAGCTAACATTTTCTGACCTTTAGGCGTCCCCTCCTACACTTGCCTCAGTTAAGATGATCACTATCCACAAATAAAAGGAGAAAAACAACAGCTAACAAAGCAATGGAATCATCCTAAATCACAAAACCCATGCCTAAAGTGCCCTAGGAAGCACTGTTCCTATTAGGAACACCTAAAATCTGTTTTAGGATCACCCTGAGACCTTACCTGTATTCAAAGTGTAGACTGGGGAACTTTGCCATTAAGCTTTCATGTAATTCTCTCAGCCGACTGATATCACAAGTCAATTCCTTCTTTTTTGATGAGAGTGTTTCTTCTTTCATGTCTAAGAGTTAAAGAAAAATAGCCCAATGAGTATCCAGAGCACAGATACAATGCAGATTAAAAAGTAGTATGCTACACTAATAAACTACATATATACAGAAGATAAAATAAGTACTTTCAATTGAGTATTTTTAAATTTCTAATTTAGTCAAAATACTAACACATTATGAAACATATGGAAAAGAAAGTCCCATATGCTTCGCTTCTCAGTGTTATTTCAAACACGAGGCATCATGCTTCTGAGCAGGATAACTTCAGCTTCTACAAATAAAGGTTACACCAAACGAGAAACAAATCTTTACTAGGAGTTTTAAGGGCAGAGAGGAAAGAGAAATCTAAATTGCTACCTTTCTTCTAAACTTAAACTCAAAATTTAGAGGTGTTGATTTCTGTGGAAAGTAATAGAATTGTAGTGCTTTTAATCAAAGAAATTTCCCTGGGCATGAAAGCAGCATACATGCTTTATAGATCCTTCTATATTCCTTCCCAGATTCCCCCTAAATTGTGCACCTAAGGTCTGTACAAACCTTCGTAGTTCAGCTTCTTCATTTCATTTTCAAGTTTTTCTTTCAGTTTTCTAACAGCTTCAAATGCTTCTTGATCTTTCTTGTAGCCCCCATCCATCTTTTTAACTTCGGCTTGTTTTGTCTTTAGTTCTTTTTGTGCGTATTTCAATTTAATTTCAGCCTACCAAAATAAGAACAAAGTTTTTCAAACAATCGCTATACGTATTTTAAATGCTTGCACTAATTTGCTGCTTGCACAGTTGGAGAAACTTCCCACCAGTTGAAGAAATGTGAAAACAAAAAGTATGAGATACAGTGTTTGTTTGTTTATCAGATGAATATGTCAATAAAAAGGAAGAAACAAGGTGAAACATTGACACACGCCTGCTGTCCTTATTTTCCAAGGCAAWCTTTTTTATTTGCTTTTCTTCAATGAGATAGGGAATGTTTACTTTTAACTTTGAAATTTTGAAGTCCTCAGGGAGAACTAGTACAGGAAAACTTAGGACAATTTTAAGAAAATATAAATGGTATGTGTTTTGATTGTGTGAATAGCACATGATTTAACCGAGTAAAAACAGGTCCTTTGAACTCTGTTCAGTCTCAGGCAACTTGATTCTGATCCCATTAGTTTTACTGTAGAAATAGCTTAACGCGAAYGCACATCTTGGGTTTTATGGATTTCTCCTTATCCACTACTGACAATGATGCAAGTAACATGGATCCTCAATTTTATCTTAAACACAAATTTCTTCTTTTTCTTATTGCAACACTATATGGATTTTTTATCCTTGTGAGGATTTTCACAACCTATTTTAGCAAAGAAATCACTTCAATGCACATGTCAACCTACATAAATTTCAAAAGAGGCAGAAAGGGTGCATGAGACAGGCAGAGCTTTGATGCTTACCTGTTTGGATTCTGTTACCGATTTGCTGATTTCATTTTTGCACATCATCATTTGCTCAGCAAGAGTAGCTTCTTCACCRTCATCGTTGCTGGATAGGCCAGCAGACACAGCATTAAAATATTTTTGTGCTGTGGCTAGAGCGTCTGCATCTTTTTTACTTGTTTCCTGTAAAGCATTTAGTCCTTCCTGAATTTTCTTTACTTCTTTCTCCTTTGACACTAATGCTTTAGAATCCTTTAACAAAATGGCGAGGGATAAAAAAATAAAAAGAGAGGTCAACTTTAGTTGCTTAATGTGAAATTTATATTGTTTCTATGAATGGTTTTGTCCGCTAGATTTCTATGACACTGTCAGATTGTGATTTTACACTGTCTTTGCACGTTTCAAACACGTACCTGCATTGTCAACATACTGAAGACTTGTGAGAAGATTAGAAATGTACAAAAGGATGACAACTGCCCAAGAACTTACACAAATAGTCATTTCTTACTAATATCTATCAAAAGATATTTAGTGTTATTCTTGCAATAAAAACTTTATCTTCAAGAATCTGAAGCCTGGAATTTTCCCTTAAATGTTAAGTTTACATTTTCAGAGTGCAAAACATTTAAAGTGTTATTGAGATCTTTCCTGAGTTTAAGAGAAAACTGACAATAGCCAAGAGTTCTACCTTCTACACCTACCCACCCTCCCACACACCGATACCACTTCTGTTTGTAATGGGAACAACTTATATCATACACAAATCAAGCAGTGTCTTCAGCATTTGTTTCTGCTTTCCTAATACCACCAATCTTGCAGATCAACTTTGAAAATGTAAGAACTCTTTTTTACATCCTTGCATTTGAAGAATGCATTTTCACTTTTAAAAGAATATGTAGAAAGAATATATACAAAGGTATTACCTCCTCCATACTTTTCAACAGTTCTTTACGTTTATTTTCTTCACTTTTTAAGTTTTGCATCTTGAGATCAAGAGCACTTTGTGCTCTAGTATCAACCCGCTGAATTTCTGAAAGGGCATGTTCTAATGAACGGAGTGTACCACCAAATTCCTACAATCAAACAGAAGAAATTGGTTCAGCTATGTTTAAACAGATGAAGATGAACATTTCAAGAGGCTGGGCAGGCAGCACATTCCAAGTCAAATGAGTCAAAAACATCTCTTCTTCAGCCAAAACTCTAAATTAGCCTGAAGCCATTTGCCTAGCACATTATCAGTTATCACCGAAAACTGTCCTTGTGAAAAAAACGCATCTAGGCATTTGAAACACCCTCAGACATCTAGTATCCAAACAACTATCCAATCTGCTACCCCAAAACTGGAGTTGAGTATTGGTTTCCTTGTTGAACAAATCCCATCTTATATATTTTTTTCAGACACCAACAAAATGGTGAAAAACACTCTGGCAAAATTTATTATTACTGCATGTACAGAGGAAAGAAGAGGAAATAAATTTTTCTATTACTTACAAAAATTGAAAATAAATCATTTTAATCAAAAACGAAACTGTTAAATGAATGTTTGTAGGCAACTGGTAATATATATTAAAAAGACAATACACTTTTTTTCTAGATTATGTGAATTTTTGTCATGCAATTCCTAAAATTAACATACTCAGATAATTGCATATCTGCTTTCCCACATACCTCATCTCTTTTCTTCTCTATTTCTGCTATTTCTTCAGTGAGTTGTTTTACTTTAGTTTCACTCTCTGCTATTGATTTCTGAAGCTTCTCTACATTAGCCTTCATGTCCTTTAATGCATCAGCAGAGCGCACCTTTGTCTCTTCAGCCAGAACAAACTGGTAAGCAACGTACAGTCGGCTTAAATGCTCTATTGCTCGTGTTACTTTTTGGTACTCCAGATAGGATGATCGTTCCTGAAAAGATGATGATAATAAYAATTATAATAATAAATATTACCTAGGACCATTATAGAAAGTTCCTTAGTGATTCTACTGCCTTTATCATTTGTTACAATGTATTTCTAATACCATTATTTGCTACATGAATGAGGATAAGAATGGTCTGTTTTCATGTTTTGCAGTATTTAAGTAGGAACACACGAAAGACTTTATGTTCAAAACTATATTTTCAGTATTGCACATCAAGGGCTTCCTCAGCAAGATCTTGGATAAAACCATGTTCATAAATTGACTATGAAGTGAAAATATCACCTTTAGACATCTTTTAAAGAACAAAGACACAATTTATTTACTATTTAGATGCGGTATTGTTTGTTTTCTTGMTTCTCCTTGCATTCCCTTCCAGAATTTCTTTCAAAACCTGAATGTCACATCTTCAGTATTTGGCCAGTAAAGGGTTTTTCAGACCACTGAGGGACTTCATAAAACTTGAAAACACGTTACTTTTTTAGCCACACACACTATTCTTTGGTCCTAAACACTAGTTCAGACAACTAAAACTATTTTTTCAATACTTTAAGGCCTCTGCTACCCTTCTAATCTTTAATACCTCTTTCAGCTTCTGTAAAGTTGGGGTGATCTCCTCCTCTAAGATCTGAAACAGAAGACATAATAAGTTTGAATACCTAGTTGCAGAGGTAGAAAAAAAAAGTATTCTATAAATCAAAAGCATGCTAGACTATTATGTTATCTTTAAGAAATGAAATATACACTTTCAACACACAGTACCCTTTTAATTTCTTTCAGTTTGGCTTCCTTTTTCTCTATGGTTTTCTGGGCAGCTATTTTCTTGCACTCATACATCCTAGTGCCAGCTGCTTCTTCAATCATAGCTAAAATCTAAAATAAAGCAATAGGACAGAAATGTGATTTTTTTTCATACCGAGTAAAAGTACAAAACTAAGATGAAGAACTTATGCCTCACAGCTTTGTCAAGATATTGATTATTATCATTCAAATTAAATCAGCAGAACTTGAGGAAAAAACCTTTCACAACATTCTTACCTCTGGTGGTTTCATATTCAGAACTTTGGTAATTCGCCCCTGGTGAAGAGACATGAAATAAGAATGGTGCTTATGAATCATGCTGTAATATAAAATATTCACTTTTACACGTTACATTACAAGCTCAAACACTTATTTATTGCCAAGATTTACTTCTATTTTCTTCTAGTTTTGCGTATATTCCTTTGTTTTTGAAAGATCAAACAAATGAGAATCATGCTTCTTAAAGCTGCAAAGGTAGTTTCAAGCTTACCAGCTGAAGTATTCTAAATTCCTACTTACATCCTAATAAAGCAATATTGCGCTTACTGACTTGCTGATTTGGAATAAACCCTTAAACACAGACTATCTGGAGATTTGGTTGCACGTCACTAGGGTGAAGTATGTATGTATATGTGTTCAAAATGGTTCTTTTTACAAGAAATTGCAACAACTCTATTGGGAAAATTAAATCCTGTTCGGTTTTAGTTGCTTGTGTCTCTGCTGATGATTATGAGAGCCTTTTCAACCAGACAGCTTTGTTAATGGCAACTTGAAAAAACAATTATCAACTCTGTACAAAATATTGTCTAACTTGAAACGAAAAAAATACTTYGTCTTTTATTGCAATAGCAAGAGAAATATGTCACTTGAAAATAGGCAAAAAAATTGCTATTGGCATCAAAAATGAGTTAATAAAAGAATTCCTTTAGACACTAATAAGTTATATATGATACTAATGCAGACATGTACTTTCATAAATTCTCAAAAAAAAAAACAAGTTTCAGGAGTAAAGGCAGAGCTGAAAACTGCATTTTATGGTCAAATCAGYTTAGCTGTGCTACAAACACACTTAACTACTGATAAATATTTGTAATTTTTACCCCATCAGAACCTGCTGTGTTAYGACTATAAAATGATCTGTTCTTCCACTCCCTCGCCTCCTTCAAGTTTTGGATAACTTCTGTTCTTTGGAGATTTTAGAAAGACATGCACAATACCTGCATTATAAGAAAGTGGGGATTATTGACATTGAGTCCAACAGAGCAAAACAGATCCTGCACACGAGTGTTGGTAGCATTTACACCATTTATAAGATATTTATTTCTACCTCCAATGACAACCTGGACAGAAAAAAGAAAAGAAATAAGTGATTCTAAAACAGCTTGATACTGTGACAATGAACTAAAAGAACCAGAACTTGAACAAATTCTAACTATGCATACAACACACATATAATTATACTTGACAGAAGAGAGATTCTATTAATCCAAACAGATATTTTAAACATCTGACTTAAAAGTAAGGGAAATTAGCCGCTAAGGTGATCATTTTTAATTTTGATGGAAAAAACAGATGCCACAACTTTTTATGTGATCTTAGAGCTTCTATGATCTTAGAAAACAAGTTTAACACACTGTTCACAAATTAAGGGATAAACAAAAAGAAAACAGAAGATAAAAAATAAATAGAATATAATTTAAGGAATGTTATTCCACTATAATTATACTCCTTTGCAAGTGCAAAAAATATATATATTGATATAATAAATTTCAAAATTGGAATTACTAAGGCAATTAATATTATTACCTGCTGCACTGTATCTATTTCAGTAGTTTGTTACTAATTTCACTTGAAGTATTTYTTTAACTGCAAAAAAGACCTCAGCGACTTAAACCACCTTTTTCTTGAGGGTCACTCTATTGGAAATGTTAGAAATACGCACAGGTGTCTTATCAGACAGAGACTCACCTGCCTAGATACGGTAATTTCGTCATTAGATTCAAATCCCAGGGGGCTTTGTTTCTTGTCAGAATTATCAAAGGTGATAGAAACAGTTGCTTTGGTAATTCCAGCTTGCCCATTTTTATAAACTAGATCTTGCAGGTTGGTAGCTCGTACCTAAATATAATGGAACAGATCTGTGCTTTTTTTTTTTTGAAACACAATCTCTGTATAGCTTCAGTGGGCATATTTTATGACACTGTATTATACTGACAAAATCTTAGTTTGAAGTTAGTACTAGAGCAAGAGCATTGATAAATTTTAGCATTGAAAACGTGAATAGGTAAATCACACTCACTCTTCCAGAAAAAAATATTCATGAGAATGGGAAAAAAAAAAGTCAACAACAGAAGAAACATATGATAAAAGAAATACAAGCCCACGACCACTGCTTTACCTGAGACAGGTTGGAGATGCCCAACAGGAAACAGATGGAGTCCAAGATGTTGGACTTGCCACTGCCATTCAAGCCAGTAATGGCATTGAATAACGGATCAAAATCGTTGATTTCTGTCCGCTGAGCGTAGGACTTGAACCCTTCGATAACTATTGTTTTTATGTGCATCTTCCTATGTTCCTAAAGGACGAGGCCAGGCAATAGTGAAAAGATCTTTGTATTCCTGTATTCCTAGGTATTTCAAAAGAA